TTTTAGTTTTTCGGTGGATACAACATCTTTGTTTGTATGTGGAGCTGGTGATCGAACCCGGGCCGCACGCATGCCAGGCGGGCGCGCTACCGCTTGGGCCACATCCCCAGCCCCAAATTACACATATTTAAATTGCAAAATTTGATAAGTCTTCATGAAAGCAAGCCCTTGTCCTGGAGTGGGGGAGCAGAGGCCCAGGTGGGCTGGAGTGCATATGGCCAGCGCAGGCCGTGGCTGCAAGAGCCCACCCTGCCAGTGTGGGCCGGAGGTGGCCAGCCAGGGTCTAGGCGAGCCAGCGTGTAACGGACCTGTCACCTGGTGGCAGCCTAGCCTGTTCCTGGTGCAGATGCCCACTCTGTGCAGCACCACAGCTCTGAATCCCCTACCCCTGCGTCCACCAGCCAACAACCTCAACCTCCCACTTGCACACAAGCAGCGGGAAAATGGAAGCGGGGCAGACCCAAATGGGCTGCGGGGCTAACCAACAGCACTGGTATCAATGCTGATCAGAAGAAAGTTTGGACCAATAGCATTGACCCAAGTGCTCTATAAACCCCTAGACTAGCACACTCCAGTGGCAGCCCCCTAGGGGGACCCCTCTGTGAGAGTTCTGTTTCTGTTCTTAACCCTTGAGTAAATCCTCCTCCTTTCCCTCTTGCCTTCTGTTGTCCTTGAATTGCAGTCTTCAGGTCTGTGAGACAAGAACCTGGGAAGAAGCTGGCCGGAGCTGCTGGAGTCCGCTCCAACACGGGGGGGGGGGGGGGCATGGCCCCCATTTAGAGCCACGACATGCCACTCGCCACTCAGTGGTAATGGAGGAGAATCAGCTTTGCTGGCTGAGACCCTCAGAGGCTGAAGCTGGTAGGCATCTCCTGCTGTGTAGCTGCTGACACTGAAGCAGGCTTTCAGCTTGTACAGCAGAAGCAGAGAATCCAGTTTGGTCTTGAACTCTGGTTTCGTTAACATATTTCAGCACCCCAGGAACCAGCACCACAACTAAAGTGACAAATGTTTCCACTGCCCTCATAGTTTTCTCCTGCTCCTTGAGGTCACCTTCCCCTCACCACCCCCAATCCCCAGGCAGCTTGGTCCCTACCAATTATTTCCTTTCACTATAGATGACTGTATTTTCTGGACATTCATAGAAATGAAATCATACAATTTGTACTCGTTTGCTTTCTTCAGAAATCTTGTTTTCAGGTACGGGTTGTTTGTTCCCTTTCATTGCAAAGTCATGTCAACACACACAAATGGCTCCTGACTTAGGTTTGACTCATGATCTTTTTGGCTCTACGACAACATCATCTTCAATATGAATCATATAAGACATTCAATGCTTTATTATAAAACAGGCTTTGTGTTATGTGACTTTTCCCACCTTCAGGCTGATGTATTCTGAGCACGTTTAAGGTAGGCTGGGCGAAGCCACCGTATCCAGTAGGTTCGGTTATTAAACACACTTTGCATTTAAGACATTTTCAGGGCTGGGGATGTGGCTCAAGCGGTAGCGCGCCCGCCTGGCATGCGTGCGGCCCGGGTTCGGTCCTCAGCACCACATACAAACAAAGATGTTGTATCCACCGGAAACTAAAAAATAAATATTAAAATTCTCTCTCTCCCTCTCTCTTTAAAAAAAAAAAAAAGACATTTTCAACTTATGTCGGGTTCATCAGGACATAGCCCCACAGTAACTGAGGTGCATCTGCACATATGTCTCAGTTTGTGGACCCACGCCCCTGAGGATAGCCATTTTCTCCCAGCCCCCAGTTTTTGACTACTACAAATAAAGCTGCCATGAACATTCATTGTACATGTCTTTGACTAGACAAATAATTTTATTAAACTTGCGTGAATACCAAGGTGTGAAACTGCTGGATCATATAAATGTATGTTTAGTTATATAAGTGTATGTTGTCTTTTTAATCATATTAGTGTATGTTTTAAAGAAAAAAAACCCGTTTTCCAAAATAGTTTTACCATTCGGCATTCCTGCCAGCACAGTATGGGTGTCCTGTTACTGGGGCCAGTCATTAGACTATAGCGATTCTGGATGTACTCAGTGTTTCAGACATCCCAAGCCTTGGTTTTCCCATGTATAAAATGGGGCAATCACAACGGTATTAAAAGGTAGTGAAGACAGTGAACTAGAGTGCATGTAAGACTGTGGTATAGGACTGTGGTATAGGACTAGCCACCTATATGGTGGCTCTTTTATCACAACTGAACCCCAGCCATCCCCTGATCTGGTGAGTGACCCCAAGATATAGCATCCTCACCTAGATAGTAAAGAGCTGATTCCTTTTCTTGCTAGTCTGGAGGTGCTGAGGACCTGGAGAAGTAACAGTAACCCTATCGAATGTGCAGCTACTATGCTGGGTGCTTGGGTAGACTTAACTTCTCAAAGGCTTCTGAGCTGGGTGGTTATCTCCTTCCATATTCCAGATGAGAAAATTGAGGGGCTTTGACCAGTAATGAGCCGAGATCACCTGCAGTTAAGTGATGGTTCTGGGATTTGGTTCTATGTAAGTTTGATTTGGCCCCAGAAGTCTCTCTCATGGAGCACTTGGCTCCTGGCTGGCAAAGCAGCCCAGTGACAAAAAGGCAGGCCGTGTTGTCTTCCGTTTCTGAGATGCAGAGCCTGAGGCAGGGATTCAGTGCCTGTGATTTAGGAAGTGGGGAACCTGTAGGGGATGGAGGGAAGTAAAATAGGAGGGAATGAACCAGGACGTGGCCTCAGGTAAAGTCCGGCAAGAAGGCTGGCCTTTTGTTCTCCGTAACAATTGGTGTTGATATAAGCCACCCTGTGGGTGAGGGGGGAACCGGCTGGCACAGGTGGCTCCTGAGGGGACACTTCTCAGGAGAAGGGGAAAGAGTAAGCCAAGGACTGAAGCTTCCAGCGGGTGGGTGTGCTGGCCCCTTACAGGGCTCAAGAAGTTCTCAGAGGCACCCACACTTCTCAACTGCCTAATGACCCAAATTCTAGGACATTCTGGAACACTCATGTCCCAGGCTTGTTTTGAAGAATTCTCCCACTCGCTGAGACCAGCATGTTGAAAACCCCTGACCTACATGACATAATCAAAGCACGTCTTTATTTTTGCCTCCCGGTGTCTCTTTGACGTGGAGTCAAGCTACTAAGGAAACCCCCAATTTGATTTGGGTTCAAACCTTCTCTGCTCACCCAGCTGGAGCCTACTGGGGGGAGGTGATGTGGGCGGCTGCTCCTCTGTTCCCTCCAGTCCTCTACAGTGGAGCTGGGGTCCTGATGGAGATAAGGAGAACAGAAAAAGGACCTTGCTTGAACTGTCACCAGCCTGGCTGGCTTCAAACTCTCTGGACCCAGAGGACATTTAAAGTTACCCCTTTATCTAATGAAACAAGAGTGTGGGCTCCCTGAGGATGGTTGTCCCCACAGGACTCCTCTCACCCCTGACCTCGGGGGATTCATCTCTCTTCCTGGGGGTCCCTTGTAACTCCTTTCTCAACACTGCCACCACCCTCCTCCCTTGTGGGAGACCCCAAGGGACAGGGCCCAAGCTGTCTCCTTGTGGGTACTCTCTGCCCATGGCTGGTCTATGGGAAATGCTCAAGCAGCCTTTCCGTGAGATAGCAGGAGTGTGGGCTAGCCTTGGCACTTCCATATTCTGTGGCTTCTCTACCAGTGTGGCCGGGCAGCCTGAGTTCCAGTCTCTAGATGTCCCTGCCCACATCATCCAGCCGCCCCTCTGCACAGGAGTCACACTTGAGCTCTCCAACCAGTGCTTCCCTCCCATGGAGAGCCCCAACTCCTGCAGTCCACCTTCCCCAAGAGATGGCCACCAAAGAAGCCTCTGCTCCCCCTCCCCATCATGGAAGAGCTGGGAGTACATAGGGGTGATAACCAATGAGGGGGTTTTGAGTACTTGTGGCTAAATGCTAGCAGTTGTCAGTTGTCAGTGTTAGACTGTGCTCTAAAAATGATCACTGGTGTCTCAGCAGGGACTTCCTGTCAACACTGTACAAGTCACATCCACTCCCTGGCCTCAGTTTCCCAACATCCTTGACCGGGATGACAACAGCTACCTGCTGGGATGGTTGCAATGTAGTGAGAGACTCAGTGACTTCACAGAGCATCACTGGGTCTGACGTGCTAGGGTTCCACAGTCACAGACCTGTCATTCCTCCTCTGTGTGACCATCTGTAAGTGATTTTTACTTCTTTGTGTCTGTTTCCTCATCTAGTAGTCAAAGAACTCCTACTCTGTAGCATCACTGTGGGGATAGTCAAGAGGATATATATCAGATGCTGGCACCGTGCCAGGCCTGGCTAGGCACCCTCTCCAGGCTGGGTGTTGGTACAGCTGAGCTCTTAGGCTGTACCAATGGAGCAGGGGCTCTGGGGTCTCCACCCCACCCCATCTCCTCACCATGTCAGGCCCTGTATTGGGAAATCTCCAGGCTGCTGGGATCCAGAGAGGACGTCCTGTCCCTCCAACTGACTGTGCTGACTCAGGCTGGGAAATCAATGTGTGTCCACAAAAATACAGCAGGGTTCTTGCCTCTTCTGGGAAATCCACACGGACAATCCCTGGGCACATCTTTACCCCAGCTCAGAGCTGGCTGGCTCTGCTGTAGGTCCTAGTTCTGGGGCTTGTAAGCCAAACCTCAGCACACTGAGAAATTGGAGCCCCTGGCACACGAAGGCACATCAGGCCTGAGGGTCACAGGTTTCACACGACCCTCGAATTGAGGTCAGGCATCAGGGATCAGGCTTGGCTTTTGCCAATCCTCTGACTTTCCCCATCCTGCCCTGGTCACTTGTCCAGCCAAGACAAGCTCCAGACCACTGGTTGGGCAAGCTGTGACCTCAAATGGGTCAGACCTGCCGGGTAAGCATGTTTAAAAGTATAGGACATTTTGTACTTGAGAATCCCAAGAACCAGAGTGTGAACCCTCCCCACTTCCCAGGCAAACCCCTCCCTTGCCCCTCAGTGCCACTTATTTCGTAACTTCAGGCAAGTTCCTTCACCTCTCTGGGTTCCAGGTTTGCCATTTGTCAAAGGCAGACTCACAGGTGTTCCCACCTCCCAGGGTTAGAGTAAGACTCGGGTCCTCAGTGTCAAGACATTGGCACCCATGTGGCAGACACTCAGGAGGGGGACTTATTGCCAACAGGGGCGCTGGACATCGAAGGAAAAATATGCATGAGGGCCTGGATTCAAACCCCAGCATGAAGAAAACCAAAATCTAAAACCAGGATGGGATACACACTACAGTGAATTGGAGCACAGACTGCCTGGGTTCAGATCCAAACTGCTCTACCACCTCGTGTGTGGCCACAGGGAACCTCTGTGAGTCTCAGTTTTATTCTTGTAAAATGGGAATAACCATAAGAGGGTTTCAAGCAATCAATTAGATTAGATCCATTGGGAACTGTGCCTGGCAGGTAGAAATCAGTTATGATTTTACTATTCCTAGTTAGTCAAACAAGTTTCTAAGGTTAGCAATGGTGCTGAAATTACACAGGTAAGTTTTGTTTTGTGGTCCTAGAGACTGAACCCAGAGCCTCGCCCATGAGCTAAATCTCATTCATTTTTAAAATTTTTGAGGCAGGCCTTTGCTAACTTGTGATCCTCCTGTCTTAGCCTCCCCAGTAGCGGGATTACAGGTACACACTTTCTTTCCCACCTTTTCTTCTTTTTTGTAGGGCTGGGGATTGAACCCAGGGTGTAGCACATGCAAGGCAAGCCCTCTACCAACTGAGCCATACCCCTAGCCCGTATACACTGGGCCTTTTTAAATCTATAGTTTCCCTTCCAATCTTTTCTTTTCATTGCAATTCATCAGTTGAAGAATTCGGGCTGTTTCATCAGTAGTTTCTCAAAGTCTGCATTTTGTCTTCTGCATCCTCATAGTACAATACAAGATTTCTAGGCAGATGAGCAATTGGATGAGAGCCAGGCTCTATTCCTTTGGCATGATTAGAGGTTATGCTGGTTCTTTTCCAAGAAGCTCATACATGGTTGAGTTTGTTCTTTCTTTCTTTTCTTTTCTACTTCTTCTTCTTCTTCTTTTTTTTTTTAATTGCTGTTAGCTGCCAGGGTGTGCAGTGGCTAGATGCTTAGCTCACTGCAGATCTCAAATGGCAATATTGTATCACTTTGTTTTCACCTACTAGTTGTAATAATTTTATAGGAAAATGCTTCACTTAATCTATTGTTTGGTTACCAACTGCTACTGTGTATCTAGGAAAGATGGAATAAATAAGGATTTCTTTCTTTATATTTACTCAGTTCTCAATAATTTCTTTCTTTCTTTCTTTTTAAGTTGTTGGTGGAACTTTATTTATTTTATTAGTTTATATGGGTGCTGATAATTGAACCCAGTGCCTCACAGATGCTAGGCAAAGGCCACAACCCCAGCCCCATCAGTTCTCAATAATATTTCATGCCACCTTCAGAAGGTGATCAATTAGTGTTTCTGATGATGGTCACTACAAACTCAGGGACTTAGACATATTTGATGAATTTTGATCAACTGCCATTTTTGCAATTATCAAATATTATCAATTATATATATATATATATATATAGTAATATATCTCTAGTATTTGATAATAGCGACAGCGACTGCAATTATCTTACTTGCAGATGAAATTGTCTCATCTGTAAGTTGACTTTTTTTTACTGTGCCCTTAGTAATAATTTCCTGTTGCCTGGTGTGACAAGATATTCCAGGATCATCTAATATATTTCCTGCTACAGTTCTGGAATTTACCATTTCTTCAAGAAATTATTTTTTAGTTGAAAATCACATTTCAAAACTATTATATCTGGGTGCAAGGTATGCTTGTTGCTACTAGATTGGTCATTGTTTTCCATCCTCTTTACTAGATATTAGGTATTAGGTGTGTGTGTGTGTGTGTGTGTGTGTGTGTGTGGTGTGTTTCCATGCATATAATTTCTCTTTAAAAATAATCTCGAGTTCATGCTGATACTTTCAATGCATATACCTCCTTACAGAACTTTTACTTTAACTTCTTGTTTCATCGGTTGCTCATTTTTTCCACACTGAAGTGTTTGATTCTCATGTATATGGGGGTTAATAAAATGAAAAGATTCTATACTTACTGATTTGCTTGAGTTCATTTTACACAAACAACAGTCTCAGAAGAATAGCAATAAAACTACTACCACTAGTCCCAGCTACTCAGAAACCTGAGGTGGGAAAATCGTTTGAGTCCAGGAGTTTGGGGTTAATGCAGCAAGACCCTGTTGCAAACTAAAACAAAAACCTGGTTAAAAGAAATTGAGCTCAGAGTCAAATGCCCTGAAAACAGACAGTTCAGACATTTCTGGCCACCTCCAGCACACACTTAATGTCATAATCTCTGTCTTCAGACACTGGATGATGCTAGGAGAGCAAGATGCTCAGAGCCTTCTGAACCAAGATACAGGACAAGCTGCCCTCTGGTGATCTTTTTTTTTTTTTAAAACCTCTGCAATTATTAGTTTATTAGTATCATCCAGGACTCAGATGTTCAGTATTCCTCCTGAAATTACATAAACAAATGCAAATGGAAAGAATCCAAGTCAAAATTATATAACAAAACAGCACTCCATCACAAAAGCGTGTAAAATTACAAGAACGCTATTTTAAAACACTGGCACTTTAAGAGAACGATAATCTCAAAAACCACAAAATTGCCAAATTGTTCCCTAAACTGCTAAGTAGATAAACATGACTCTAATGAATGAGTTTGGATTTTTGTTAAAAATTAAAAAAAAAAAAAAAGAAAAAAAAACATAAAATAAGTTGGATAATTGGTAGAGATGCAAAGTTTTTTCCTCATGTCTATTTTGATTTATAAATGGGCAAACCACAATATAGGAAAATATACCCTACTTCAAACTTGGCATTGTAATTTTATAAGCTGGCCCAATTAAGTAAAAATACTTTCAATGGAGTCTCAAGTTTCCTGAGCAGTCCATATTTAGATAAATGGGAAAAGGCATTTACAGCCAGCACTCTTAGAACCTTTGCTGGGACTAATCTCAACAAAAAATTTAATATGGCAGTCTTGTATTTTAAGCTCACGCTTTTGGGGATACATTCTCAGGTCTTCTTTAATGTGTTAACTGCAAAATATAACTGCCATTACATGGTAATGGGAGTTAATATAGAGTCCTCATGTAAAGATCAGAACATACGTCTCTATTAGTCCTTCAAGGACAGATTTTCAGATTGTTTGATTCTAATAATCCCATGCTGTGAATAGAATTGGCTACCCTTCACTTGGTAAATGTAAGTGGGCTATGTGAAATTAGCTATCAACTGATCAAGGTTTTGGAGTTTCAGTTACGGATGAAAATGTCCTCAATTTAATTTTTATTAACCCCATCATGATATGCAGGGTGTGTAGACAAAAAGTTTTTATCATCTTACTATGAAAAGATAAACATTGTAATAATTCATGTGATCTAAAATGGGCAAAAGCAAGACTAACTTCCCCTCAAGAAGAAAAATTTCAGACCTATGAAAAGGACAACAATACTAATAAAAAAATTGTATTTACTTAGAAGCATTCAGAATGTCAACAAAACAGCTGCAACTTTTTTTTTTTGCAATTACAGAGTGGTATTCAGTTAACAGAACAACAATTATTTCGTATAAGCTGCATCAGAGACAACTGAAGATGAAAAACTACCGTCCCCATATATAACTAATTTGTGCTGTGCACCAACAAGAACCTGCTTTAAATTTCCATGCCAATTTACAACCCCCATACTGTACCAGGCAAGGTTAGTGGCTATTGAAAATACCACCAGGACAGGGCTATCTAAAGACACATTCGGTAGTGTGTTAACTATACAAAAAAAGACACTGTACAGTTTAAAAACAAATCTTACACAGCCTTACATTTCAATTTTTTTCTTTAAAAGGAGTGAGTTGTGTACAGGGGGGTTAAATGCTTTATAGACAAGAAAAAAAAAACTGCGCTAGAACCAACTTATTCATCATCATCATCTTCTTCTTCATCTTCATCTTCTTCATCTTCCTCTTCCTCCTCATCCTCTTCATCTTCCTCATCCTCTTCATCTTCCTCATCTTCCTCCTCTTCCTTCTTTTTCTTGCTTTTTTCAGCCTTGACAACTCCCTTTTTTGCTGCATCAGGTTTTCCTTTAGCTCGGTAGGCAGCAATATCCTTTTCGTATTTTTCCTTCAGCTTGGCAGCTTTCTTTTCATAAGGCTGCTTATCATCTGCAGCAGTGTTATTCCACATCTCTCCCAGTTTCTTTGCAACATCACCAATGGATAGGCCAGGATGTTCTCCCTTGATTTTGGGGCGATACTCAGAACAGAACAAGAAGAAGGCCGACGGAGGCCTCTTGGGTGCATTGGGATCCTTGAACTTCTTTTTTGTTTCCCCTTTAGGAGGGATATAGGTTTTCATTTCTCTTTCATAACGGGCCTTGTCCGCCTTTGCCATGTCTTCAAATTTTCCTTTCTCTTTAGCAGACATGGTCTTCCACCTCTCTGAGCACTTCTTAGAAAACTCTGAGAAGTTGACTGAAGCATCTGGGTGCTTTTTCTTGTGCTCCTCCCGGCAAGTTTGCACAAAGAATGCATATGATGACATTTTGCCTCTCGGCTTCTTAGGATCTCCTTTGCCCATGTTTAGTTATTTTTCCTCAGCGAGGCACAGAGTCGCCCAGTGCCCGTCCGGCTCTCACTTGCCCCGGCACTGTCTCTATGGAGCTCAATGTACTGCAATGGCTGTGAGAGCGGGAGCCAGACGCAGCCTCCTCACTCTCTCCGCTCTGTAACATCTCTGGTGATCTTTTTGCTCTGGAGTTGGGTGAATATAATCAACAGACATTTCATGACATGATGTACCAGAACTTTACACAAGCCATCCCCTCTTTACACATAAAGAAATGGGTCCTTTCAAGGGGTTGTTCTGAGTCTGTTACTTCAGAGTGCCCAAAGCAGAAGTTGTTCAAATCCCTGTTCAGCCATTTAACTGTCCTGTGACTATGGGGAATTTCTTGTCGGTCTCTGCACCTGTTTCCTAACCCACAGAAACACGGAGACAAGCGGCCCATGTGACCTTTACAGCAAAACAAAACCTGGGCCTGTGGTACAAACAAATTTCAGTTTAAATCAGGCTCATTCACAGATCCTCTTGGGCCCTTAGACAAGAGATTTCCTCTTTTTGGATCTTAGTGTTCTCTTCAGTAAGGGAAACTCTCTCCTGGCCCTTTGTTCACGGGGGTTGTTCTAAGGTGTAATTGAGATCATACAAGTACAGCGCACAGGTATATGATTGCTCAAAAGGCAGAAAATTTATTGTCATTTTTCTGAGACCTTTTCCAATTCTGAGACAAATTGGTTCTCTAAAATGTATTACTAAGGAGGAGCAAGAAATAATGATCTTAAGACCAACTTTTCTTCCTGCTGTCAGCATCTAGCATGGAAGTCTGGTTCCGTGAACCTCCAATAGGTCCTGGGTCTGGGTTGAAGAGGGGTGTCATCCCAAGACCTAGGACAGCATGGTTTGGACAGGGCCATCCCTTGCCTTTTGCTCTAAGAGTTTCCATTTATTAAATACCTACTGTTTGCCTAGTATAAGCAAGAAGTTTCCTCTAATGAGCCCACTTAATTACACGTTTGCCCATGAGAAACTAGAGGCTTTGGGAGTTTAAATGACTTGTTTAAGTGACTTCCCCAAGGTTACAACTTGGGGAAGGTTATCAGATATCCTTATCCTAATTTCTAAAGTTTGTGGCTATCTTGCTTTACTTGGTAAAAAGTATGCTGTAGATGTGATTAAATTAAGGATTTTGAGATTGGGAGATTATCCTGGATGATTATAATGGCAACTTTGAGATAATTTGAATTTCTTTTCTTTTTTTTTTTTTTGTACCTGGGATTGAACCCAGGGGCACTCAACCACTGAGCCACATCTCCAGCCCCTCCCCCTTTTAAATATTTTATTTAGAGACAGTATCTCCCTGATTTGCTTAGGGTCTCATTAAATTGCTGGGGCTGACTTTGAACTCACAATCCTCCTGCCTCGCCTCCCAAGCCGCTGGGATTACAGGAGTGTACCACAGCACCCAGCGACAATTTCAATTTCTAATAATCATTTTAAAAACATAAGCATATCCCAAATGTTGTTTAAGACATACTTAAAAAGAAATCATTTATCTGAAATTCAAATTTAACTGAATGTTCTATATTTTATTTGGGAACCTTAGAAATGGTGAACGAGAGAGCAGAAAGTCAAAAGTCAAGATTCTCAGGCAGCTCCCACTCCCGCCACCCGCCACCCCCACCAACACACACACAGTCGGGCATCTGGCAGAAACATTTTCTTGGGGATCTCCTGGGTCACTTCCCTCTGGGACTTCCCTTGTCCTTGAGGCAGAGAGAGGAAAGGATTATTTAAGGTCATCCCTTTGGATCTGAAGTTCTTCTGGATCACCAGAATTTCTCCCTAGAAATGGTTTATCGTCTTGACTCTGCCTGAGATTTCTCTCAAAATTGCAGTTGCACAAAACATGAATATATGCTGGGGAGGGGGGTTAATGGACTAGATGTGGTGGTAATAAATCCTTTTTCACATTACCATTATCTGGTGGGCACTTCGTGAACCCTAAAGCAAGAAAGAAGTTAATTATCAAATCAGGATCAGATGAAGAAACCGAGGCCAATGAAGAATAGGGGCTTGTCCAAGTTCATGCTGCTAATGACAATCCGAGATTGTATGGAAGTCTCCCTCCAAGAAGCAGCCAGTCCTGATGGGAGATGCGGTGGGAGGAATTCTGGAATGCTAATCCTGAGGTCTGGGTTTTAATCTCTTTATTGCAATGGATTGCCACTTTCCTTTTCATGAAACAGGGAAATTGCACAAATTCAAGAATTTAATGAGGCATGGAGGAAGACACCAGGAACGTGGTGGTACGTTCGAGGAAAAGGGCAGTTTCTTTCCTTCCTTCTCTCTCTGGACCCGGTTCCCCATTCACACGGAGGGTCGGACAAGTTGCTCACGATCCCACTTACTAGCAGCCAGCAGAGGGCCCGCAATGTACAGTCGCGACCGCCAGGTGGAGGCAAAGCTCCGGCAACACGGCGAGAAATCGCACATGCGCACTCCCAAACGGCGCCCCGCCTTCCCACGCCCTGTGCACGTCACTTCCGGCGAGAGGGGCCGGACCGGCCGGGCGAGGAGTGCGGGTCGGCTCTGTGCGCGTTGCCAGACGAGGCTCCCGCCGCCGATTGACCCGCGCTCCGCCCCGCAGCCGGGCCGGTGAGTGCCCGCGAGCCCATGCGTACGTCCCAGGGGCCGAGAAAAGGTGCCCCGAAAGGGAGGGATAACCGGAAGTGGGAGCCGAGGGAGCGAGAGACCCCAGGAAATGGGGACCCCTGGGGAGGGGGCGACGACCGGAAGTTGGGGGCCCGGGAAGGTAGTCTAGGGGAGATGGGATCCCTGGGGCCCAAGAGAAATGGTCTTGGCCTCTCGCTGTCGGGGGGGGGGGGTGGGGTGGCGAGGAAGGTGATGCTCCACAAAATGATGGGCTCCAGGTGGGGAAGATTCCTGCTTCACCTCAGCAGCTGGTGTTTGCATCCCATCCCTACGTCCATCCATCATTTAGCAGACTTACTGAGCCACTGTCGAGGCCCTGGAGATTAAAATGAAGCACCCGGTGGAGGGTAGGGATGAGAGACCAGGGTGGGACTTGACACTTCCTCCTGCCACCCTTGAGCACATCACTTAGCATCTGTCTTCCCCTGATGTTTACCGAGCTCTGACGTGTACGCAGCCAAGGGGATAGCGGTGATCATGGCAGGCAGGTTCTCTGCCCTCGTGGATTCTTGGGGACAGTCTGTAAAATAGGAACAGTAATAATATACATAACAAATATTGTGAGGAGTAAATAAAAGGCTGGGGATGTAGCCCAGTGATGCATACCCAGCACTGGCAAAAAATAAATAAATAAATAAAATTGAGAAAACAAGTGCCAAACATAGTGCTTGATATAGGGTAAAACACAAAAGACTTTTAGTGTTTGTTGCTGTGTACCTAGCACAGTGCCTGACACATACGATAGGTAATCAGTAATTATTTGATAATGCATAGTGAAACAGACTCAGGAATTTCATGTAAACACTTGTGACATTGGACTGCAGTGCTGTGGAAAACTCAGGGATTCACCCTGAGGAAGTCAGGGAAGGCTTCACAGAGGCCATGATGTTGCAGCTGGGCTTCAAAGGTGATGAGTTATGATTGGGAACAGATAAGGAAAGGAAATTTCAGGGAGGGGATATCAGTGCATCAAAGTGTGTGAAGAATTGTGGGTCAGTAGTTTGTTTTGACTGGCAGGGGAGAGGTGGGAGGTGAGGCTGGAGAGGGCTTTGGGTCTGTAGCCTGTGAGCACTACAGTGTGCCTGTCAGGTATGCCCTGGATTGGGTTTGCAGACAACTATTGGAACCCCAAGTGGGTTCTGCAAAGCTGGAACTGTTCATTTCTTGCTCAGCATACCTCTGCTAAGCACATTAAACTCATTCAACAAATATTTATGGAGTGCAGACTCTCTCATACCATGTTAAGTGTTGTGTTTATAGTGATGAACAAGACAGACATGATACCAACCACAAATTGCCTACAGACAATGACAACAGAGTGAGAAGTACTGTGCCAAAGAGCTCCTGCAGGGGGCACCCATCCTGGCCTGGGGTCAGTGAAGGCTGATTGGTTAAAGCCACAATCTTCACCCAACTGGATATTTCAGTAGCCTTTCTGGTCTGTTTCTATCCTCACCCTCTACATTCTTAAAACAGTAGAGTGACCCCTTTAAACTATAAAACAGATCACAACACTCAAAGACCTCCATCCCCCCCTTCACTCAGAATGGAAGAGTTCTTATAGTTCTACAAAGCCTTGGCCCCTGGGGCCCAGTAAGCCCCTGAATTCATCTGCTAGTGTTCCTCACCTTGCTTATTTGCTGTTGCTCAAAAGAGCCAGGCAGATTCCTGCCTCCAGCTTCACAGTTGTCCCCCCCTCCCCCAGATATGCACGGCTTGCTCCTTCACCTCCTCCATCAGCTAGATGAGGCCTTCCCTGACTACCCTATTCAAAATTGCAGCATCTGCCCGAGGTACATGCAGCCAACTTCCCTGCTTTGTTTTCTTCACAACATTCATCACGATGTATAGACTGTATGATTGGTTATTCTCATAGTCTTCTCTATCTTCTCTAGAATCTAAGCTCAGCAGAGCAGAATTCTTTCTTCATTTACTTCTATATGCCTGTAAGAGGGTCTGGTACATCATAAATGCTTGGTAACCATTGACTGAGTGAATTGTCATCTAATTGAGACTTAAGGGTGAATTGATGTGGGTCAGATGAGGAACCGGAGCAAGAGCATGCCAGTGCGAGAGATCAGGGTTTGCACAGGCTGGAACACACCTTTGTGGAGGAGTGAAAGAAGCTGGAGGTTGGAATGCAAGAGATGGAGTGGCATATCTCAGTTTTGGAGGGAGTGACCTGCTTGGTCACTCTGGCTGTAGTGGACTGGAGGGAGTCCAGCCAGGTGCAGTTAGGACCTTAGGGGTATGTGGAAGAACCTGTGAGAGGTTCCCTGATTTCCTTGTTGAGCTTGCATTGGAGGATCAATGGTGGCCTATGGACAAGAGTTGAACTTTAGAACTGGTCAGATTTGTGTTTACCTTATTCCCAGAATATTTCAGTCTGCTATTTTTTTCTTTCATGTAATAATGTGTTAATTCAGATTTTCTGAGAAGCAGACATTAGAGTCTAGAGATGGGATATGCAGTGCACGTCCAGTTGGAAGCAATGACTGTGGCAGATAAAGGATTCCATGTGTCACTCAGTCACAGCTGAGGGTGGTCTGTGGGAAGTGTGGCATCCAGTGTGGCTGATGGATCCAGAGGGACAGCACCTGGAGCCATTTGACAAGTATATTTCCACAGCAGTAGATCTACCAGCCCATATCACAGTCTCCACAATGTGTTAAATGAGTATATATTTTTTAAAAAAGTAAACAGTACAGTAAACGTTCTCATCTTAATTGTCCAGTTGTCCAGATCTCTTCCCTCAAAGTAACCATTGGTAACACAATTTTTTATATCCTTCCGGAAAATTTCTGTGCATTCACAAGTGTATATGGGTATATATTTTAAAGACATAATGTGATTATTTTTTGCATACTGTTCTCAGCCTCCTTTTTCCATAATATGTCAGTTCATGAAGATCTGATAATTCCTTTTCATGACTGAAGAAGTATTTTATTTTTTATTTAATCTAGTTCCTGATGTTCAGTAAAGATATTTACAGTCATCTGTCATTTTAATCAATACTTAAAATAGACATGTGAATGCATTATTTTACACATATATATGCATTCCAGAAATGGAATTGCTGAGTTATATGTGATTTTAAATTTAATACATACTAATAAACTGCCCTTTAAAGGGACTACATCAGTTTACACTCCTGCCAGTATTCCAAAGTATCTGTTGTTTATTTTTGCCAGTGTGGATCGTAATGTTTTTGCTTTACTTTTTATTTTTGGTGTATGCGTGTGTGTGTGTGGGGGGGTGGTACTGGGAATTAAACCCAGGGTTGTACTATCACTGAACTACGTCCTGAGCCCTTTTTAATTTTTTTTAAATTATGAGATAATGTCTCACTAAGTTGCCCAGGCTGACCTCAAATTTGCCATTCTACTGCCTCAAGATGCTGAGATTACAGGTGTGCACCACCGTGCTTGGCTCCAATTTGTTTTAACTTACTTTTATGTAAGATGAGTGTGGTTTAGCACCTGTTCACACACTGACACAGAAGTCTGTGTATGTGGGGAGGAGTGCATGTATTCAGCCACAGCTGCCAGGGTGCCTGCGAGGAGATTCTGACTGCATGGGTCTGGGTTGGACCTGGGCCCATGATTTAGGTCAGTTTCTTTCCTCTTTGAGAACCACTGCCCCTGAGGTTATTGGGCTCTGAAAAAAAAAAAAATACTACTATTCCCACATCTTGCTTCCTGGGCTTCGAAATTAGCAGTGCTGAGCTTTCCTAACTTTGCTTGGGCTTCTGTGTCAGCAGGGACCTTAGTAGCTAATGTCAGAAGAAAGTGACTCTCTGAGAACCAGCCCTTCTGTGGCCTCACTCTCTGAAAATGAACTGCCACCACCACCCGAGCCCCCCGGTTACGTGTGCTCACTGACGGAAGAACTGGTCACCAAAGCCCGGGAAGAGCTGCAGGAGAAGCCGGAGTGGAGACTTCGGGATGTTCAGGCCCTCCGGGACATGGTGCGGAAGGAGTACCCCAACCTGAGCACATCCCTTGAGGACGCCTTCCTGCTGCGCTTCCTCCGAGCCCGCAAGTTTGACTACGACCGGGCCCTGCAGCTCCTGGTCAACTACCACAGCTGCCGCAGGAGCTGGCCCGAAGTCTTCAGTAACCTGAAGCCATCGGCCCTAAAAGATGTGCTGAGTTCTGGGTTCCTTACTGTGCTGCCCCACACTGACCCCAGGGGCTGCCACATCCTCTGCATCCGTCCAGGTATTTCCCCAGCCTGCCACGGGACATGGGTGTGGTTGCTGAGCTTTCCCTGCACCTTGCCTTCTCCTAGTCCCTTTTCCCCTCTGTTAGTTGAGCCTCTTTTGATTTTGATTGCAGATAATAAAAACCTACTCTAACTAAAGACAGAAGGGAGAACTTGGTCAAGGGAGTTGTGGGTCTCATCTAGACCTAGAGGGCATGAGGTGCATAAGCTCTCACCAGGTCCTACAGTAAGAGCCAGTCTAAGATGACCCACCTCTGCCTGCATATCCCCTGGCCACATGTTTCTGCTACCTCTGGCATATCCTCTTTACCTTTCTTTTCTGTAGACCAGCGCTTGCTGCCTTTGTGCACAAGGCTAACTGACATCTCTCAGCAATGAGGATCACCTGGCCACCCAGTTCACACCCCTCAGTGCAAATTCTAGATTTCCAGTGGGAGAGAATATGCTGGGTTGAGGGGTCTGCCTCTGGTCAGAGGATACGAGCAGAGCTGCCAGGAGCCCCTGCCACTCCTCTTTGAGTGGCCAAGGCACAGATATCATTGAGAGGTTGAGGAGTGGGCAGACTCGTGAAAAGGAGCCTTCCCCATCCCTCGTCCTCCCTCCTTTCCTCTGCTTTGTGAAGCCTTGACAAGGTCCACTTTATTTTTATTTTTGCAGTGATGGAGATGGAGCGTAGTGCCTCATGCATGCTAGACCAGTGCTGTGCCCCTGAGCCACATCAAAGCCCCAAGAGTTATTTTTTAAATCTTAGCACTTCATAGTGATCATCAGGGTACATTACTTTTTTTAAAAGTTCATTTTCTTTGACATTGTACAAAAAAATGTATGAGTAGACCCAAAAGTAGACACACATTATCCTTTGTTGGCACTATTGTCTAGTTCTCCATATTAACTTTACTATTCAAACAGTTATGCAGCAATTTATAGATTGGGAAAGAGAGAAAGCCAAAAAACTTTTCTGCCCATTTTTATTCTTCTTATTTCATTGGCACAGAAGTTAGCAGTTGGGGGCAGTTCCCTGCCGACTTCCTGAAGAAGCATTTGGAACATTCCGAGCTTTGGACACAGTGACTAGGGGGTGCTAGAACTCCAGCCTTCTAATCCTTAATCCTGTTCTCTCCCATGATGCCAAATGCACTGTCATGGAGGCGTGTTCCCCACCCCACCCACAGCCTCAACATTTTCCATCAGAGCACTGCTCAGAAAAAAAGGGAAAGATAGATTGCAGTGTTCTTCCCGAGTGAGCCAGAAAGTGCAAACAGACTGGCAGCCTGGTGTGTACAAACGCCTCTTCAAGGGACATCTGATGGGAGCAGTACCTCCCTGCGCTTCCTCTGCCATTAAGCCCCACTTCTCTGTTCCCTTCATCATTTACCAAAATCTCTCTGAAACTAGATCTTTCTTTTTGGCCCTTACTATGAATCAGGCACGTGTTAATGGCTGTACCTGCACTGGTAGCCACTTTCTGAAATTAGAGGTGTTTATTTTAAAATAAGCAATGCAGTGCAGATTTCAGGGCACCAGGAGACCTAGAAACCAGCCAGTAGGCTTTTCTGCTGCTCCTCTGTGCTCAACGGGTAAGGATATTACAAAATGGCAGATATTACCACACTGGTTGCACCTTGCCACAGTGGTTCCTGCCCTTTGCTGGTGAGATGAATACCTTCCCATGTGGGTGGAGCAGACCTGGACCCCTCCCTACTGACCCAGCCTCTCAGAAGGTAGCAGAGACACTAAGTTCTCTTCTCAGCTGGGTTTTGGCTTTGCCCTTTTATAAGCTCTTTGGGGACATATGTGATTCAAAAGATGGCATCCGGAAATGCAGAGGCAGGTTTAACTGGCAGCAACACAAAACAGCACACTGGCACAATTTTTATACAAAGAATTTTCTTAAGAATTTTACACATCTTACATGTCTCATTGGTGGTAAACGTGAAGTTTTATCATTCTAAGAAAGGGGCACACAGGTTTTGGTGGAATTTTCTTGAGAATAGTGGTTAATAATCACAAATGCTGTCATTTTTATCTTTTTCCCGAAGGGAAGAAAGAATTGTTGAATATGTGGGAAGTATTAAAGTATTAAAGAAACATCTGCCCTGGACCCTTGGATGCAGGGTCTTCTGCAATGCAGCATCATTTCCCATCCCCACGACATCTCCTGAAGGTGGTACAGAAGTTAGGACTCACTTTTTAGGTGGCAAGTGACAGAAAGCCATCATAGGTCAGCTAAAACAAACAAAACAAAACTCATTTTCTCAGATAACTGACATTAGGGCACAGCCGGGTCAAACAGCAGCACTGGAAATCTGTCTCCATCTCCACTGACCTCAGCGTGGACTTCATTCTCAGGCCAGCTCTGGCCTCATGGGACTCCTGCATCTTGAGCTCACAGCCAGAGTACTGTAAGAGGGAGGAAAGAGTATCCCCTTCTCAAGGGTCAAGGTGCTGGAATTGAGACTCCCGGGATTTGTGTGACCTGGCTTTGACCACACTGTGGCCAGGAGGATCTAACACCAGATGGCAAATCAGTGCCCAGGCACTTTTTCACCTCTAGAGTCAGGAGTCACAGCAGTTCTATGCAAGTTGCATGGCAAGAGTGGAAAGAGGTGTCTCCCCAAGGAAAATCAGGATGGTGTTATGAAGATAAGGGGAAATACCTGATGGTGAGAAGCATAGGTGTCCATGAAGGTGGTGTCATTGTTCTCTTCTACTTGGAGGAGGCAGAGAGGCCCAGGGGAAGAAGGCAGCCTGCTCGAGGCCACACAGGCAGTCAGGTTCCGATCCCCAGGTGGTGAGACTTCAGAGGGCATGCTTTTAACCTTAATGCTCAACTGCATTTCCATTTCTGAATGCACCACTGGGTTTGGAGTAAGAAACATTAGCTACTCCGTCTGACGTGGCTCGGTGGTAGAGCACTTGCCTAGCATGTACGAGGCACTGGGTTCTAGTCTCGGCACCACATGTAAAATAAATGAATAAAATAAAGGTCCATCAACATTTAAAAGAAATATTAAAAAAAAAAAAGAAATATCAGCTACTGCGTAAAGCCCACTTATAACCTAAGTAGCATCATGGCCACACAAATCTCATTCTTTCCATTTGAGACAGCAGGTTTTTTTTAATAGACAGAGATAAATCTTTTCTCATCACTTGTTCGTGTTCGTTTCTATAACCTATTGTTCCTTATTCTCTTATAACCTCAGACAGATGGATACCAAGCAACTATCCAATTACTGAAAACATCCGAGCCATATACCTGACGTTAGAAAAACTCATTCAGTCTGAAGAAACCCAGGTGAATGGAATTGTAATTCTTGCAGACTACAAAGGAGTGAGCTTATCAAAAGCATCTCATTTTGGCCCTTTTATAGCCAAAAAGGTGATTGGCATCCTCCAGGTATGGCCCGTTTGCCGTGTGCCCCTTCTGTGGTTGCTTTGACTTTCCCCAGGGCCCTTCATGCAGGTCTCTTGGGATTCACAAACCCCACCTCCCACCTGCAGTGGGAAGTCACCAGCCATTTTTCATGGCTTCCTCAGGGTCTCCAGTCATTTGAGGAGAAGGTACCTTCTATCTAGACAAGATCACAGTTTGGGCAAGAATCAAAAACAGGCAGCTGCTTTCTGCCTTTGTGTGTGCACATGTGCACATATGTGTGCAAATGGCAAAGAAGGAATTTTCCTAAAACACAAAATAAATTGTCCTGCCTTAGGGGCTGGAACCTCTCCATTCCTCTGTGGAACTGGGACCTGGGGTTCTGTGGGACTGTGTTTTGATCAGAGGTCTCACACTTCAGGCTTCACGTTTTGGAACCCAAATTGCTAGGGCCTGGAAGGTCCCTTCCATACATATTTAACAGTTCACAAAGGGCTGTTACCACCGTTATCACCCATTCAGTCCTTTGAGGAATCTTCTGTATTAGTCAAGAATTCTTTTTCCTTTTTTGATAGACGGGGAAACTGAGACCTAGAGAGGATAGAGTCTGGCCAGAGGGTCACAACTGGGACAGATTTGGATTCCTTGTTCATTCTGACCCAAGTCCTAGAGTGCTGCAGATGCTGCCCCTGTGAACTGTGGGCACCAGTGGTCACAGCATCACCTCTCACCGAATTCACAAGTGTGTTTAAGACCACTTTTTGACATAATTGTAAATCTTATTTCTAGCTTTGAGCCAGTATTCTGGCTTTTCTTTGCTTCCACTCTGTTTCTGTTTTTTGCTTTTGTAGTGCTTAGACAGAACCAAGGTCTTTGCGCATGCCAGGCAAGCACAGAACCACAAGCCACACCCCAGCCCTCTGCTCTGTTCCCATGTCTACTACATTCAGTGTCAGGGTAGAGTGAATCAGTGTTTTCCTGGTATTTTAAACTCCTCCAGCCTGGTGTGGTGGTGCACGCCTATAATCCCAGCTACTAGGAGGCTAAGGCAGGAGGATCATGGGTTTTGAGGCCAGCCTGGGCAACTTAAGACACTGTCTCAAAGTCAAATAAAAAGGGCTAAGGGTGTCGCTTAGTGGTAGAGTGCTTGGTCAGTTTTGCAAGGCCCTGGGTTTCATCTCCAGTACCACAAAAACAAACAAAAATCTTCCAGAGCGGACAGAAGTCCCAGGGCTAAACAGGTTTGGTAATGTGGAATAGCACATCCCTCTCTTATGAATTTCACCACCAACATCTCTGTATTAAAGGCTGAGCAGGGAACTGTGGTCACAGAAACCTGTCTATTCTAGTCTACTGACTTACCAGACTCACCTGCCATGGAATCCTTTTCTGTATCTAATGCTCCCTGAGAAATATGCTTAGGGCAGCTCTGACCCAGGACTCTTGATGTGTGCCAGCTCCATCTGTGTAGATGCAGATCTTTGCTGCCCATAAGAGGAGCCACTCTGCCTGTTTGTCTCTTTTCTGACCCAATTTTGGCTTCCAAGAGAGACTTTCACAAAGGCTTATCCTTCCTATTTAGCAACCCTCTCCCCCACGCCCTTCTGTCTTTGCAGAGACCCTGAGAATGTAACCAGACTGATGTGGGGCTGAACGTAGAGGTTGAATCAGGGAGTGTGGCTGTGGAAGGGACAGTTTACAGTCACTGCAGATGTTCTAACACTCTTTTCCCTCCCCCAACAGGATGGGTTTCCCATTCGGATAAAAGCAGTCCATGTAGTAAATGAACCTCGGATATTTAAAGGCATTTTTGCCATCATAAAACCATTTCTGAAGGAGAAAATAGCAAACAGAGTAAGTGACAATCCTTGTGGCTTTTGATGCTTTCATCTTTTTCCTCCTTGGATTTGCTTGTGACAGCTAGTACTTAATTCTTTTTGCCTTGGAACTAACTTGGAAAGTCTGAGAGTACAGATGAATATAAATGAACAGTCTTTTTTATAAGGGAAAGATGAAATTATAAGATGATAATATTTGTCAGAAAAGAGCAGAAGTCAGAATTTTTACCATAAGTGTCCTCTCTGCTATGTAAACCCTTAGCCTTTTGATCTCCTATCTTAGACATTGTAAGCCAATGTTGCATTTTATACATGAGAGGATGTGGAAAGGGAGGAGCCAAAGAGAGTAACTGGGCAGATTGCTTAAGAACTAAGGGTCATTTGCTGTGTGCTGTGATGTACACCTGTAATCCTAGCAACTCAGGAGGCTGAGGCAGGAGGATCACTTAAACCCAGGAGTTTGAGGCCAATCTGGACAACATAGTGAGACCTTGTCTCAAAGACAAAAAAAGCTGTTTCAGCATTTCTGTTTACCTAATTTGATGTCTTACTGTGCAGTTTTTGAAGCAATTCAAGGTTTTTGAGCTATGTGGGGTTTTAGCTTAATTCTTAATTAAGAAGGGGCTAGGTCTTACACACCTTTAATCCCAGTGACTCAGGAGGGAAGCTAGCCTCAGCAACATAGTGAGATCCTATCTCAAAATGAAAAATGAAAAAGACTGGGGATGGGGCTCAGTGGCAAAGCACCCTCAGTTCAATTCCCAGTTACCCCCTCCCCCCCAAAATATGTCTTCCTTTGTTCTTTCCTCCATTCTTTCTTTCACAATAGTGAGGACTGAACTCAGGGGTACTCTACTACTGAGCTGCACTCCCAGCCCTTTTGATTTTGAGATAGGGTCTCATTATGACCTCAGATTTACAACCCTCCTGCCTTGTTCTCCTGAGTAAACTGAGATCGTGGTCTGGCTGGGATAAATGTTACTTGAGATGCTGAGGCAGGAGGATCACAAGTTCAAGATCAACCTGGGCAATTTAGCATGACCCTGTATTAAAATAAAAGGAACTGGGGATGCAGCTCAGTGGTTGAGCACTTGCATAGTGTGTGCAATGGCCCGAGTTTAATCCTCAATAGAACAAAAAAATAAAAGATAAACTAAAGGACGAGTCTTCCTTGCTGACCCTGAAGAGCCCTTTTTCTCTTCACCTTTCCCAGGACCACTGATTGAAATGGCCTGGACCTAGGAACGTGGTAGTCACTCTCTCTAAAGACTAGGTCCTCAATTTTATACTCTTTTTCAAAAAGAAAGCTTATACAGATGGAGAACCCCAGGGTTGCAAAAGAGGGAACTTAAACTCCAGATCTAGCTCTTTCCCTATTTTATCAGCTCAGGGGTGAAGCCCAGGGATATGGGTTTTTAAATTTCCCTAGGTAATCCTGATGCATAGCTAGGCTGATATAGTGGAGCTACTGATTTAGTGGCCTCCTTGCATGGGCGCAACCTGTGTTGGTTCCCGAAGATTCTGTTTGGAACCTGAACCTACATAGCCTTCACACAGGTCTTTTACGTCTATGAAATGCTCTTATTTGTGGCACATGATGTTGTTTTTTCTCCCTCGTGTATTCACTTATTCATTCAAAACTATTTATCAATCAACTACTCTGTGCAGAATGAACAAAATGACACAAATCCCTTCCCCTAAGAAGCTCACACTTGAAAGAGACACCCAGATAATGGATCACACATGTTACCCAGTGTTCAAATGGGAGAAGTGCTTCAGACAAAAGTAGACCACAGAAAGGAGGTAGTAAGTGTGAAGGGGGATCGCAGTGTCCAATAGGGTATTAGAGGTGGCTGCATTGAGGAGGTGGCCCCATTGAGAAGTCAATGTTTGCGCAGAGACTTGACAGGTGAGGCGTCAGCCTTTCAGACAAGCAGGTGTCCAGCATAGCTGAAGGAGCAGCTTGGAGGCTGGTGTGACTGGGGCTGAGGAATGATCAGAGGAGGAGTTGGAGAAGTAATAGGCCAGGTCATGAGGGGCCTCTGACTGGTCCGAGAGGGAGTGCCAGAAGGGTGTGGAGGAGTGACATGTCAGCCCTCACTGAAATCCTATGGGGACAAGAGTGAGAGCAGAGAGATAGGTAGGAGGCTAATGTGGGACTCCAGAGAGAGGTGCTGGAGGCCTGGAACCACTGAGGATGTAGCCAAGTGGCTGGACCCTGGATGGATCTGGAAGGCCTACCAATAGGGTGTGTGGTATACAGAGAAGAGAATTAGGGGTACTCCAGGCTTCTTGGCCGAGGAACTGAGTAAAGTTGCAATTAATCTTTCTTCATTCAACACGTATTATTTGAGCACCTACCACAAAAGGGATTGCTCCATTACTGATTGACCTAAGAATGTGTGTCCTTTTAATTTCACTCCCTGTTAGTTCTTCCTCCACGGGTCTGACCTGAACTCTCTTCACACAAACCTCCCAAGAAACATCCTCCCCAAGGAGTATGGGGGCACAGCGGGGGAGCTGGACACTGCCAGCTGGAGTGCCGTGCTCCTGGCCTCAGAGGACGACTTTGTGAAAGAGTTCTGCCAACCTGTCCCCACCTGTGACAGCATCCTGGGCCAGGCACTACTGTCCGAAGGACTGGCCTCAGATGTGCAGTGCGACGACTCCATGCGGGCGGTGAAGTCACAGCTGTACTCCTGCTACTAGTCAGTCCCCCGGGAGTGTCGCCATGTTTAAATCTTTTCCCTTCGTCTTTAGAACTTACAGTCTGAGGCCTCAGTCTTGCTCCTTGTAATGAAAGAGCAGCATGAGGAACCGTCTGGAGACCTTTGAGGGTGAGCCCAGCTTGGGGTGAGCCTTTGGTTACTTGGATTATTCCAGGGATGACAGGGAAAGTTTCCCCAGTGACCCCCACACATTCACACTTGAAGTTGTATCTAGTTCTTAGGCATCCCGGAAGTAAGAAAGTCACTTTGATCCCAATTCCAGGAAAAGACAACACAAGTGGCCAGTCAGCACTACTCTTCTGAAACAAACTTGGCTGAACTTTTCAAGGAGGCCATGCAAAGCTTTGGGAGTCTGCCTTTTACAAGAACTCTCGCTGTAAACCCGCTGCCAATCAGGAAACTTCCCATTCCAGGTCCAGTTCCCGGTGGCTGTCACTGGGTTTGGAAAGCACCTTGCCTGCACTAGGGGAGCACCAGGATCTAGGCACTTCTTCCTGATCAAATTGAGAAGCCAGAGACTTCAAAGCCTCCCTGGGATTCACTGGTTGAATCTTGCAATAGAAACATCTCCCAAACCTATAAAGCCTTAGCCCTGGTTCTCAGTTGAGTCAGACCAGGTCTTAAAAGTATATGATCTTGGACTGGGGATGTGGCTCAAGCGGTAGCGCGCTCGCCTGGCATGCGTGCGGCCCGGGTTCGATCCTCAGCACCACATACAAACAAAGATGTTGTGTCTGCCGAGAACTAAAAAAAAAATAAATATTAAAAAATTCTCTCAAAAAAAAAAAAAAAGTATATGATCTTGCTCAGTGTAAAACACTGGATTCTAGGCTTGTGAAGCTAAAGAATTTTGGACTAGGAATCAAGAGACCTGGGCTCCAGGTATGTGACTGTGTGACTGTACACAAGACTCAGGCCCCCGTGGGTCTCAGCTTTCTCATTTATGAGGCTGGATGAAATCATGTCAAAGGGCCCTTTTGGCACTGAGGTTCTGGTATTTGGTTTAGCTACTGGTAGGTTATCTTCCTGGAGAGATGGCTATCAGATAGTGTTGGTCACATCCTGGTTTTTATCGATACGAACAGACCTTTCCATGGAGAATTAGCGCCATCTGGTCCTGTCTTTAAAGAAGCTAGTATGTGCATTCCTAGGACTCAGTGACCCAACTTCTTTTTTGTAGTGATGGTTAAAAGGATGGCTTGTGTGAGGTGGCCTGAATGTTGTAGGAATTCCTTCCATCCTGAAATCTGGGTAGGATATTGTAAACTCAGCTACAGTGGTTTTAGTACTTGGATTTCTTAAATCTCATCCCTGAAAACATACACACATGGGCAGGTTGTTGCTGGGTCACCAATGGGGCCTCTGCCCTCCCAGGCCCACTGAAGATTGTCTTTCTGGTGTGGGAGGACCAGTTGCCCTGAATGGCAGTTCTGTATTTCAGCATTTTAGAACCTTCCTGTCAAGACTTCGACCTTAGCCCAGCCATCAAATTAGGTGGTTCATCTGATGGTTTCTGACCTGTTTCCTTTCATATGTGATCAAGATGTCAAGTAGTGGCAAGTACTATTTGTTGTGCCTGTACCTTCTCTGTACATTTATGAGAATAAGCAGGCAAAGCAGACAGTTTCCTGAGGGAGAGAAACAGCCTCTGAAATTCCAAGGTCTTCTATTACTAAGCTATTCAAGTTTACAGCACTTTCAGAAATGCATAAGTTGGTGGAAATTAATTTACTTACCTCATTAATGCCAATTCCATGGAAAGTTCTTTCCACCATAGACACTAACCCTGAATCCTCTAAGGTCCTGGCTGAGCTGGAAGTGTCAAAACGTACACCACTGGCTACCAGTGGGTGAAAGCGATGTCACCAGCATTGCTGAAAGACCTAGGCTTCAGTGGAATGGCTGAAGGGCATGGTTCAGAATGCAGAGGCCCAGGTGGAAGTTGGTTAGACTCCCTTGGGTCCCAGAGAGAAGAGAATGTGTGTGTGTGAAGTGGGGGACGCACACAGAAACAGCTAGACGGAGGGACGGATGAACACTTGGCCCCTGCATCATGTTCCTGGCCAGTGGCCCTTGTCTACATGACTAAACGCTGGATGGCCAGGCTCACCTGGAGAAATAGTTCAGAGGCAGGAAGGGATGTTGCCTGTTTTCCCAGCCTTTCCCCTCAGGCGAGAGGCATTGACCTAGTTCTGCCTGCCTCCTGGAGCTGCTGGGCATCCTGCTGGCTCCAGAGAGATCAAATGGTCTTGGCACCTCAGGGAATGGGAAGCAAGCTGTAAATCCAGGACCTCCCTGGTGAAAAGCAAGGCAGAGCAGGCGGGCAACCAGCAGGGCACAGCAGGCCTGGCTTTGTGGTGGAGACACCTGAGGACTGGGGCAAGAGCCTTCCTTCAGGGAACTTTGGTTCAAACACCAGGCATGAACTTTCCCCTGGGTACAGGTAGGGAGATATCGGGAAGGGACAGGGATAGAAATTAGGAGGATTGAGTTCCAGCTACATCTTGCCACGTATGTGTCCTTGAACAAGCCATTGAACACCCCTGAATCATCATGACCCGGGAGACCTCTACTCTGAATGCCAAACCTGTTTCTGGCATCTGGCAGGCTTCACTGCCACAGTGACAACCCGCTTTTACTGCTATCTGGGTTTTTAGGAAATTTGGGTCTGAATGTATTGGTAAAGCTTCCAAAACAAATTTGTTAGCTTGGGACAATGGGAGTTTTCTCTTCCCCCATTCCCCATTCTTCCTAGAAACATAGTCTACCTTTATGGAGAGAAACAGATGAAATCTCTGGAAACAGCCAAAAATGCAACCCTGGCTTCGCACACTGGCTTTCCTGCGTGGGACTACAGAAGGGGCTATGGATCCTTCCACTTCATCCTGCTGGTGTGGTAGGAGGCATTTCCCCTGAATTCAAGACTTATTGACTGGGCAGTGTTTATAAATGCTATTTTCAGATCAGTCATGGGGTTTCTTTTTCATTTGGCAGCCATTGTGGCATTATTACAATACCTCATTTTAAAGTTGTCAGCTTTCCAGGTTTTCCTATGAAACCTCCTTTCGTTCAGGAAGGGACGTGTCAACTAATGTGTGGCCTTCCTGCAGCCGTGACAGCTTGGAGATGCTCAGGAAGACTGTCAACCTGCTAGCACCCCTGAGCATTGGCAGCTGTTAACTTTGAAAATCTAAATTCCTTTCTGCTCTCTTGACTCAGAAATGGTTTGCTTGAAATGCAAGAAACAAATATCATCAAATATTCCCACTTAGCAGGAGCTTGCTTCATGGGAAGGTCTGGTATGACTCGTGGATGGAGATGATTGGGATGCATTTACTGGTTTTCAGTTTAGCTTGTTTTCAAGAGAACTCTCAAGAAGGCAGCCTGTGTAGTCAGGTAGTAAGTTCTGGGCTCTTGTGGATATGCCTCTGATACCACTCTGTTGGGAGCTGGGGTAATTTCCTAACTAGGTTGGGTTATCATTTTAGCCACTGGTTGCATTCCTTGCTTCAACCTGAAATTCAGTGTAGCTTCGAGTGTGGGGACACATGGTGGTGGCTTCATCTACTTCAGTATTTGTTTTGACCAAAAGTTTATTTTTCTAGTGCATTTTTCTAAGTCAAAGTGGTGAAAAAAATATGTAATTTTAGTATGCATGACTGGGTCTTAATAAAAATCCCTGTAAGGATGAGTGTGCGTAGAGTTTTTTTTTTTTTTTTTGGTGTTGCTGGGGATTGAACCCAGGGCTTTGTGCATGCGAGACAGGCACTCTACCAACTGAACTATATCCCCAGCCCCCACAGAGTTTGGATAAAGACTCTTAGGTTTCCTACTCATAGGCATGGCCAAAGCCTCCCTCTTCCAGGAGAGCCTGGGAGGGGTACTGTGGCAAACATTGAGCTGGCTGCCCCCAAAGACCAGGTGCGCCTAGACTGCATCATGTACCAAGGGGAGAGGATGTAATCATACATGGTGGTAGGGGCAACATGTCACTGTTTCAGTCCTTGAGGAACAAGATGATTTTCAGGACTGACTGGCCTTGAATCTTTCAGTGGTAGCCAATAACTCCCGAATGTGCCTGTGGGGTAGCCACACCTGTCAAGTACACACAACACATAATCTCATTTAATTTTCAGGTATCCTTAATGAAGTAGTAGTATGGCCCCTAGGAAGAAAAAGAGGCACAGAAAAGTGGAACAGCTTACCCAAGGACACAACCAGCAAAACAGTAAAGATGGGATTCTAAGGCAGGTCATCAGTCCCAAGCCCTGCATCAGGACTTGATGGTGGGAGCCAGGTGGAATCCATCTCTTAAAAATTTTGTTGTCAAATAATCCACAGAACAGAGGGAAAGAAGATAGGAATCTTTATAAAAAGATCGTATCAGAAATTGCCTTATTTTCTGGAAACACGTAATGCAATTCTTAATCTCAGATCCGAGTGGTAACTGAGCATTTTATTCCAGAAGCTCCTACAAGCGAGGCCAGACTCCTCAAGGGGTAACAGTATGGCTTGACCCAACTCTGGTTCCAAACATGCTATTTCTCTAACCTGCCTCCTTATTTATCGAGAGGCAAATACTCTGTCCCAGAGTAGGCAGCAGTTAGGTCCCCACATGGGGCTGGTGTGTTGGCGAGTTAAGAAACACTCCAGCACAGGATGCAGGTTCACTGTTGGCTTTTGATGTCACAACCAGGCAGGTATGCACCCTTTAGTGCAACCAGCCTTTCCTGGGAAAATGGAGGAACCGAATGCTCAGTCTGTTTCTCATTCTGGAAAATGGGAGCCAACATCTCCAGCCCTTTTACCTCACAGCAGTGTTATGACCATCAATGGAGGCACTTTTCTGAGCACCTCCTCACTGCCGACCTGCAGGGCCCCTCCCACAATCAATGGCAGCACAGGTTTCACATTAATACATTTAAAGCTGCTGGCAAGTAAAGCCAGGTGCGGTGGTGCACGCCTGTTGTAATCCCAGTGACTTGAGAGGCTGAGGCACGAGGATCACAAGTTCAAAGTCACCCTCAGCAACTTACAAAAAATAAAAAGGGCTGGGGATATAGCTCAGAGGTAGACTGCATGCTCAGCATGCAGAAGGCTCAGGGTTTGGTCCCCAAACCAAATAATGATAAAGGTGGAGAGTCAGAAGATCAGTTAGGGTATCACTTTCCTTGGGGGGAAGTTTTAACCAAGTGTTCATGCTCTTACCTGACTAGATGCCAGCAACTAGCAATAGTGACCTAGTAAAATAGTGACTGCTGTCAGGTGGTCACTAACTTTCCTGAAAATGATGGGTAGTGTCGTGAGCCAGCTTACTCCCCTCCATTGTCTCCAAGCAGTCTCTAGTATAACCTCCTGGATCCAGACAAAGGGTGTTTTGAGAAAAGAACTTAGAAGTCAAGCCCCAGGTTTGACTCCCTGCTTCTTCACCTCTTCCTGGGCAACAGGAAGTCTGACTTCTTTCCAAGCCTCGGTTTGATTTAAGGGCAGGGAGTGTGGGGACTCAGCACCTCACAGGGGTGTACACATTATCTATTCACGGCCTGGCACATGTAGCTGTTTATGTGGTATCTATTATTATTCTTCACCTGAGGAAAGAGGCAACGTGTGGCTTGAGTCACCCAGCAGTCATCAGGACATCACCGAGGAGGCGGACTGATTTAGGTGCCTGGGTAACAGGATGGATAGGCCAACACAAAGGGAGAAAGATGACCAGAAGCTCCCGTGAAGAAACATAAGCCTGGTACCTGCTACTAATTTCCAGAAATCAAATGCACATCATCATCTAAATACTCACGTTCAACAGGAAAAAAGAAAAATATAGTCAAGCAAAGACTTTTACGATTGACAAAAAAGGCTGTCCTGCTCTAAATTAGACCTGAGTTATGGTTTGGTCTGGAACATCAAGTTATCCTTATAACCAGGTCTATGGTCATTCTTTGGCAGTTATCTTTGGCTATCAAGAGAAAGTTTTATTCCCCACTGAGTTTAAGGCCAACCTAAAAGGTAAACCAAAACTTAACAGCTCTCTCCCAGCTCTAATGAGGTCAAAGTAGCAGCTGCTGCTTTAATGAACTCCTAGAACATGCTTCTGACCACAAAGCCAAGGCCTTGACCTAAGAGGCCGTCCCAACCTGTTCTTACTGAAGAAACAGCAGGTGATTCATCTGGAATGAGATGAAACCATGGGATCTGATGATTCATAACACCACCCTGCTTTGAAGCATGATATTCGCTTACTCAAAATGTTGGTATTATTAACGTTTATGTATAATTCAGCATTCACGTGTATAATTCTTGAATGTCAATGACTGAGTTTCCTATTCACAGACAGACTTCATTCATTCTTAGGGGATGACCAACAAAAGGGACATTATCCCCAAACTTTAAAGAGAATTTGTTATTTCAAATTAATATCAAACTATCATCATGAGAAAAAAAAATAAAAACCTTTATTGGACTTTGTTACATTATTTTACAGTTTAGTATTGCTTTTATATTGAATTACATAAGGCAGAAGAGGGGGGCACTGTAATGTTTTTGAAGTTTAGAACCTATAGAATTCTTTCTGGCTCCCCTGCTATTAAGGACCGGGAATCTGCTTTACTCTGGCAAGACCAAGGGCCAAACTCATTCACCCTCAAATCCTTTGTACTTTACTTCCACATACAAGCCTGACATACACGGCTGGTTTGAAGGACAGCGGTTCCAACCATTTGTTTCAAGCTCTGCTTCCCTATCTCCACCTCTATGTTCATCTGGTTAATTCTACAAGAATACCTCAAATCCAGCCTCTACCAGATTCTGGACATCTGTGACCCTTGAATCTCATCCAGTCTCACTTTAACCCATAATGAGATTAGCAGCTCCTATCAAGAGTGCTTTAAGTGTGTTAAGCATTCTTCAAACCATCTAAGTACATCAGTACACAGGTTCTAGGTACCAACACTGAAGCTCAGAGAGGTAAAGTCATTTGCCCTAAGTCATAAAATGTGGTATGTACTCAGTAAATATTGGCTGACCAGTTTGGCAGCTGAAAAATGGAGAAGTTGCCAAGCATGGTAGTAGCCCAGGCCCGTGATCCCAGCAACATAGGAGGCTGAGGCAAGAGGACCAGAAGTGTGAGGCCAGCCTGGGCAACTTGGACCCTGTCTTAAAATAAAAAAATACTGGGGATATAGCTCAGTGATAACATGCTCCTGGGTTCAATCCCCAATTTGGGGGTGGGGGGCAAAGTTGGGGTGCAAACCTAAAAGCTTACTCCCAAGACTGTACTCATTCTGAAGGGACCACCTCTGTCATTTTACACCTGTGCTCTTGCTGCTTCCAATCTAAGTGCAGCACCATCTACCTGGATGATTAAATCAGAAGCACTTAGGACTCTACCCTTCCCCCATATCTAATTAATTTCCAGTGTTAAAATTCTAATTACTAAGTAGCCCTCACTCTCTCATTCCCCCCATGTCCCCTTCTACTTCTTTATTTCAAATTTCCTATATGAACTGCTTCTGGTATCATCTCTCTGTATCCATCCTCTCTGTATCAGCCCAAGTGACCAAAGACACAGTTTGCGCATGTTGCTCTGAAGATGCGCTCTGCTGCCTTCAACATTACAGTCCAAACTCTCATGAGGGTCTATAAAGCACTTCAGAACTCAGTCCCCATATTCTCTCCCCCTCCATTCCAGCTTCACTGAACACTTTTTTTCCCATCTCCCTGCTTTTAAGTGTAGTTCTGCCCATCCTCAGCAATGTCACTCCACTATCTCATGTCTCTCTAGCTTACTCCTAATAGCACTTCTCTAGGAAGTCCATTGTGACACCCTCTACCCCAGGTACCCATCCTCCTGATTCCTGCAATCCCAAAATCACAGCACTAACTCACATCAGAACCACCCATCAGCTCATTTTCAAACTCCTCTACACTGTCCAAGAAGGAAGAGCCTGTGGTCTGTCATATTTAAAGCTGTGTTCCAGGGCCTGCTGTGGAATAGACACCCAGTAAATCTTTTAACAAAGAACTGCTTTATCCTACACCTCCTTGTATGCTGCCTCTCTGGATTATATTTCTTGACAGTGCCTTAACTATTCCTCATCTACCAAAGTCTTACCCAGAGAAGATAATCGGGATAATTTTTGAATGAGTTCAAGACTCAGAAGGAACAGGGGCATCCTGATGTGATGCTAGATAAACCTGTGACTGTCCAAAAAATAATGCATGGCTATTAACTCAAAAAGCTGTTAAAGAAAGGGCCTTAAAAGTTTAATGTCTTTCTATTGTAATCAAATACCTTTATAGTGCAAATATATAACTTACATGCATTTTACTTTTACATACTCATGATAAGATCATTACATAGACATTGCGGTATTTCCCCAAATGAATCTTCATTTTAATCAAACCTACAAAGCATTTATTGAAATTAACATATCTGGCAAAGCCACAGACTTGTATCAAGCTGCATCAATGCTGTAGTATTAAAAAAGTAAATAAACTCAAGCTGTAGAAGCAGCAGCCTCATCAGCAATCACGCTTCTAGAGAAGGACCCACATACATGATCCTTACCCAAGAACGATGATGCGACACACCTCCAAAGAGTTTACGAACTGAACAATGTGCTTAAATCACACAATAAAGACTTTCATGGAGGGAAATGTCATATAAATGCATTTTTTCTTTTTAAGGAGAATGCAATAGAAATATATTAATGATAGCTTCAAATATCCAATATTCTTCTATCTTATATTTTAAACGAAATTTGTAGAACCCTACATATCTTTATAAAGAACTCTCTTCACAGCACAGCTGTAGTTCTCTTTAAAAACGCAAAAATGTTCTCTTGTGCTATATCCTTACAAATAAACATACATAAAAATGAAAAGTTCAGATTCTGCATCAAGCATTTTCAATCTTGCTTTTTGATATAAACCAGAATATAGTCAAATTTGCAAAGCGTTCACTTAATAGTTTAGTAGAAGCAAACTTAAAAGGGATATGAGTTTTCAGCAAAGGTGAGACCTTTAGGAACTTCAGCAGTGTCCTTGGCATTCAGAAGTTCAGCTGAAATCCCGACTGGTGAGGACTAATGGAGCCACAAGGGTCCAGACATAAAGGAGGAGGCACACCCAGCTGGAGGTGATCTTGACCCACACAGCAGGCCACTTGCTGGTCACATTCTGGAACATGGCATCAGGGCTAAGAAAACAAAGAGAGTCAGGTAAAGGAACCTGGTACCAGCATCCTGCAGACCCTAGTTAAGGCAAGAAACTCCCCTGTGAAACCTGGCTGGCACTAGTACCCCAGTACATTTCTAGGGGAAAGTTGAAGAAGCTGCTATTTTTAGTTGTTATGAGCAAATATTTGGCCTCTTAAATAGCATTTTTCCTCGTGTCAGCATGAAAGACTTCAGCTATTCTTTGGGTAAAATGCTTCAGGACCACTTGGCTGTTCTAATTATTGGTAAAAGTCTAGGTTAAAATGGGCCTCCCTGAAACGTTCCTTCCTTAGCACATTATTACTCTGACCAAAATATTTTGATATGGCCATCTCTATGTACAGAGAAAACTTGTCTACAAAGATGGGTTAAGCTCCTATAAAATATCGTGATTTTCTCTCTCAAATAAATCAAGTCTAGAAAAACTCCCAAATATTTTCACTGCAAAGAATTCCAAATGGATTTTAAATGCAGAGGGGAGAAAGTCCAAAGTCTTTCAGAGAGAGCACCGAGCAGAGCTTATTAAAGGAGTAAAATAAGGGGTGATATGGTCAGGACAATAGATAAAGAGTCACAGGCGGTCCAAAGGGCTAAGTGGTCTTCCACCTTTTTGTCTGTGCCTCACCTGTACCAGCCGGTCAGTGTCATCATGATGTACAAGGAAGCCAAGCAGAGCATCAGATGGAAAAATGAGTAGCTATACTGCACTCCCTCTTTCTCATTGTCCACAGCCCGCCGAGGCTGTCCATCTTCTTCATCGTTGGCTCCGCTGGCATTGGTATCACCAAGGATCACGCTGTCACTCCCTGAGAGGGTCAGCTTGTTTACTTGGCTGTTGCTGGAAGTTCGGATGCTGGAAAGTAAGGAAGACAAATCAGAAAGGGGCTATGAAATGAACTGCTGCCTTTGGCCTGCAAACATTATATTGTAGCTGCTCCAACTTTGGAGACTAAGGTCTCTGCTTAAAATTCTAAACTGCTGCCTGTCATCATAGGGCTGACCATACTTGCATCAGTTACAACTCCATGGCCCAACTCCCAAAGCACACTATGTTCCTATTACTTCAAAGGGCCTCTTCTATGCTTGGGATGCACCACCCACCAACCTTTTCCCAGCTAACTTACTCATCCCTCACTTCTCTGACTCAGTGCCATGTCCTCTGGAAAGACTTCCCTGACATCAACCCTCACTAGGCTGAGTTAGAGGCTTCCTCCCACCTCCCAATGCTCCCTAGGGCATCCTTCTGCCTCAGCATTTTTCGTTCCTGCCTTGTTCTTTGCTTACTAGGCAAAGAACTCCCTAACAAGATGCAGAGTCATCTATGTGTCTCTAGCAGTGCAGATGCTTACTACAAGCAGGAGTTAAATGACTGAATTAAAAAATACACATGAATAAAAGACAAAAACTACATGACCATTTCAATAGACAGAAAAAGCATCTGACAAAACCCAATGACCTTTCAAGATAAAAATACTCAAAGCAGGAATACACAACTTTCTCCAACTGATAAAATACATCAGTGAAAACCGAACCGCAGTGCTAACACCATACTTAATGGTGAAAAACTAAAAGGTTCCTCCTAAGATCAAGAACAAGAGAAGAATCCCACTCTTCACTTGGCTATTTAATGCTATACCAGAAGATCTGGCCAGAATAATGAAGCAAAAAATATGAAAGATATCCAACTAGAAAGGAAGTAAAACCAACTCTATTAGCAGATAACTTGATCTTGTATGTAGAAAATCCTATGGAATAAACACACATAAACCTTTAGAACCAATGAATGAGCTCAGCAAGTTAGCTGAATACAAGATCAACACACAAAAATGAACTATGGGGCTGGGGATGTGGCTCAAGCGGTAGCATGCTTGCCTGGTGTGCGGGCGGGGCGCTGGGTTCAATCCTCAGCACCACATAAAAATAAAATAAAATAAAGATGTTGTGTCCACCGAAAACTAAAAAATAAGTATTAAAAAATTCTCTCTCTCTCTCTCTTAAAAAAAAAAAAAAAAATCAACTACTTGAGAAATGAGCAATCCCAAAGTTGAACAACTGTAACTACAATTCCATCAAATCAAACAAAACATTTAGAAATTTACAAAATATGTTTAAGATCTGTACACTAGGTTAACTATAATCCACTGAAAGAAATACCAATGCAAACCCTATCAAAATCTCAACTACCTTTTCTTTCTGGTACTAAGGATTGATCCCAGGGGCACTTCACCAATAATTTCCCAAGCTCTTTTTATGTTTTATTTTGAGACAGGGTTTCAGTAAAATGTCGAGGGTGGTCTCATATTTATGACCCTTATTCTTCAGGCACCTGAGTAGCTGGGATCACAGGTACTCAGGAGCCTGGCTCTGATTATCTATTTTTACAGAAACTGACAAGCTCATCCTAAAATTCACATAAAAATACAAATGACCCAAAACAATCTTAAAACAGAACAATTTAGAGAATTCCAACTTCCCAATTTCAAAACTTACTGCAAAGCTATAGTAATCAAAACAGTTTGGTACTGGCCTAAGGTAAAACATACAAACCAATGAAACAAAAACACAGGCCTAGAAATAAAACTATTACATTTGTGGTCAACTGATTTTTGATAAAGATGCCAAGACAATTCAATGGGAGAAAGGAGAGTTTCTTCAACAAATGGTCTGGGACAACTGAATAATCACAAGGGGAAGAACTGGAACCTCTACCTCAAGCCATATATTAAAACAATAAAAAGACAACCTAATTAAAAAACAAGTAAAAGCCTTAAATAGAAAATTAAAGAAGCTCTACCAATAAGCACATGAATAAGATGCCTACCATTAGTTAGAGAAACACAAATCAAAATCACAACAAAATGCTACTCCACTCAATCTAGTATGGTTACAATTTAAAAGGTAGACAATTACAGTATAATGATTAGGATATGGTCAAAGTGGAAATTTTGTTGGGGGAACATAACATGATGCAGCCACTACATGGAGAACACTTTGGCAGTTCCTTAAGAAGTTAAATAGTTACCAAATAACTGAGAAATTCCACTCCTACCTATGTTCAAGAGAGCTAAAAACATACATCCACACAAAACATTTGTACACAAACATTAACAGCTGCATTTTTCAAAACAGTCACATAAGGGAAATAACCCAAATGTCCACCAACTGATTAACAACAAACTGTGTTACAGCTACACAATGGGATCCAATATTTTCTATAAAAAAAGGAATAATTACTGATATAAGTTGCTACAAGGATCAACCTCAAAACTATTCAGCAAAAGCGGTCAGACCTGACATTACTGCATTTAGTCAAGTGCCATACTATGTTTCAGTTGATGACAGGACTGCACATGACAGTGGTTCTATAAGATCACAGAACCTAATGACACTGGTGCCATCTCAGTTTATGTAATAAGCATACACTACGATGTTCGAACAATTAAATCATCTAACAACGCATTTCTCAGAGTATCCTTGTATACTCAGGACTATAATATGAAACCTATGTATTTTACACACGTGCACATGTGTATATAAATATATAAAAGTATTTATATAATGTGAGCCATGACTACATATGGAATGTTTGAGTAGGCAAATCTACAGACACATGAAGTAGCTTAGTGGTTGCCAGAAGCAGAAAGGAGGGTGATTGGGGAGTGACTGCTAACGGGTATAGGATTTTTGTATGAAGAAAATACTTTCCTTTTGTGTTATTTTGTTGTGGTGCTAGGAATCAAACCCAGGACCTCCACATGTCAGACAAGTATTCTACCACTGACCTACACCCCTAGCCCCAAGATTTTTTTTCTAAAATGATAATCCATCCAGTTTTGAAAGCCACTATTTTATTCTCATTTCTTTGTAAGACTTTGAGGAATTATCTGGTGAGATGATATTCTGGACTTTAAGAAATACAAATCCCCCCTGGGAGCTGGGGATGTCACTAGGTGGTAGAGTGCTTGCCTAGCATGCTCAAGGCTCTGGGTTCAATCCTCAGTACCAAAAAGAAAAAAAAAAAAAAAAGTAAGAAACACACATAGCTGGGTAACTGAGATGCATAAAGAACTTCTCATTAAAGAGAACTGTTTTTTTCCATTCCTCAAAATAGTTTTAAAAGCAAAATACCTTCTTCATTCTATTATTGTCTTTCATGAGAACCTTAGACTAACCACCTTTTAACTTACCTAGAATACAAAAGACAGAAAACAAAGACTGCAAGCCCTAGAAGATTTTCTGCATCCACAAAGTGCCCCTTCTTCGATGGTGGAGCAGAGGTAGGGACTATAACAGTGGAATTTGCAGGAGTCATGGTTGGTGAAGCGATGTGTGTAATGATGCTCAGTAGGGTGGGGTTGCAGGATCGATCTGAAAATGGGAAATTTTTATTATCCATAGTTTCAGCTCATCTTGTTCCAAGAAAGAATTAAGAGATTGCCTATATATCATTCAGTGCTGATGTGAAACATGAGAATACTTCATCCAGCTGGAAACTCAGCAGTCAGTAATGTATATGTGCTGAAATTAGTGATTTAGTTTCAGAAAACAAGAAACGACAGTATCTGTCAAATTCGTAAACATCAAGCATGATTTTCCTGGCTTTATAGTTTACCTGAAAGATCTTTTTAGTTATATAGTACCAAGGCTTTATGCACACAAGTTTATCCTAAGCTTTAACATAGTTATTTAATAAAAATTAAGTTACTGAGCTGGGGTTGTGGCTCAGTGGTAGAGTGCTTGCCTAGCATGTGTGAGGCACTGGGCTCAATTCTTAGCACTGCATATGAATAAATAAAAAATAAAGGTATTTTGTCCATCTACAACTAAAAATTGAAAAAAAATATCATAAGAGGGGGGCTACAATAATTGTTTACCTTTATAGAGTCCACAGAATGATCTATTGAGAACAATCCTATAATAGCTGTAAAAGGAGATTTTCTTACAGCTATTTTTGCCATGTCTATGACAACAAAGTAAAATAACCTTACAAAGGACCAAAACAAGGTCACCCTTGTGAAGAGCTCTTACTAGTGTCAAAAGGTCTTCCTAGGTCTTACATATGGGGAATAAAACATAAAAGAAAAATAAACATCTGTAAATCTACAGTGACCATTGTTCAATTACAACATTTAAAATGTTGTTGTCTGTTTCATATTTGCTCTACCTCTAGTTTTTACACCCACCAAAGAGGTACTTTCCTATTTTCATCCTATAAATGTGTTATTGACATTCCTTACCAGGTTCATTTGTCATGGCTGACCACGTGAGGTACAGGGTGTAGAGCGTGATGACAGAGGACTGTAGGAGGCCGGAACGAGGCTGATGTTCCTAGGGAATAAAAAGGAAAACTGCCAAAGGGATTGCAAGGTCTCTCTTTCTAAAAGCCAGTGTGCTTCCCTTCGATTTGTTGAATTGTTAGTAGCTGAGAACCTATTGATTTTGCTTGACAGCTGAAAGTGGACAAGTAACCTGTCAATCTGAGTTTGTTTGCAAAAGAATTAAGAAATATAAAACATCTACTGACTCTCAAGGCATTCTTTGATCCTGAAAATTCCTGTACATCACACAACAGCTTTGATTGTTTAGTCCCTTGGCGTAATAGGAAGAATCTCAGCTCAGCTCTGTTACTAATCAGTGAGGTGATCCATCGCTTCTTTCACTGAGCTATATCCCAAGCCTTTTTGTTTTTTTATTTTGAGGCAGGGTCTCACTAAGTTGTCCAGGCTGGCCTTGAACTTATGATCTTCCGCCTCCCAGGTTACAGTTTTCTCACTTTCAACCCAGAAGTGAAGACTAGATGTCTTTTAATATCTAAAACTGCAATGATTTTTTTTTTGATCATGATGCTGGGGAAGGAACTCAGGGCTTTGTGCATATGAGGCAAGCATTCTACCAACTGAGCTATATCCCCAGCACAGCATGGTTCTTAATGTTTTCCCATCAGAACAAGCACAATGTCTCTACACTTAGTTATTCTAAGGTATGGCCAATCTTCACTACCACTGAGATACATATTAACCCTATATAATGTTTAAAAAATGACACTCAAGAGCATGAATCTTTGTTTTTAATATTAAAGTTAACTATTTCTCCTAAAAACATGTTATCTAATGACTCATAACAATCATTCCCAAGACTTACACAGTTTTAGAAGATCTATAAATTCTCAAGTTCCTCAGCTTTTTTTTAAATGAAAGGGAAATTAATCATGACAGAGGCACTCAATAACGCAATATATGCTTATTAACTTGTAACTATGAAGACTGTAACATAATATGGAAAAATATTTAAAAGGTTAACTCAGACATAAATTCACTAAAGGGTTACTAAGTTTTTGAAATTAGTGTTAATTAAAAACTGTTCACAGGGCCGGGCATGGTGAAATCCCAGCAGCTCAGGAGCTGAGACAGACAGGAGGATTTTAAGTTCAAGGCCAGCCTCAACAACTTAGAGAGACCCTATGAAACTCAATGAGACTCTGTCTCAAAATAATAAAAAAAGGGATGTAGATGTGGCTCAGTGGTTAAGCCCCACTGGGTTCCATCCTTGGTATACAAATACAAAAACAAAAACTTTCACAGCAGGAAGAAGCAGAAAACAACCATACCTGAATTTTTGGGTGGATCGATATAATGGAAACTACAATGCAGAGAATCAGATTAATACTGATGAAGAACTTGTTTTCTGTGCAGCAATCTGGTTTTGTGTAGTATGTGTAGAATAACCCAACAACGATGATTGACATGACATAAAAAAAGGTTGTAACAGAGAGTAAAGCTGGAAAAAGAGAAACAAATATAAATATCCACGATTCTCAGAAAACTTCTACAATGAAGACCAATTTCTTTTGTATACTATATAAAAATGAAGACGTATTAAATTACCCACCCTCATGGTGGTCAAGAATTTATAACAAAATTTCAGAAGCCCCAAGGTTAGTTTCGGGTTGTGTTGGCTCAATGTTAATTTCTAAAACCCAAGAAGCAAGTGAATTCACTTCCTGGATTATCTAATTTGGTTTCATTGCCTAGATTACCAGATATTTGGTCATTCCAGTTAGAATAAACTGCTAATTTTTTGTCTGCTAAATAAGGAGTTCCAGAAGCTTTACATAGCTTAGATGATTCCTGGGCCCTCAAAATGGCACAATTCATAGGAAGCAATATGCATCTTTTTATAACAGTTTTTCTTCTGTGGCCACTGGCTACCCAAAACTGTTTCCAATCACAAACAATGAGAAAGTGGATCATTTGCTATTTCCAAATATCTACATGAATGCTTCTTTCTAGTCATAAGGTTAACCAAAAATTAATTACTTAATTCTGAAATTAAGAAACAGGAAAGAGACTGTACAGTACACCAAGTAAACCTGTGTTCAATTTGAAGCAAAGACTTACGAGAGAAAATTGGTTTCTACTTATCTGGATGGATTTCACAAGTTTAAAATTAAACTTTCTACATTAGGTCACCAGCACAGTTCTTAATGTTTTTCCATCAGAATAGAGATAAATTTCTCTATACTTAGCTACTCTTAAGGTAGGTACAGTCAATCTTCAACTCATTAAATTCTTCTAGAGTTATATGATCCAAAATGAATTATATAAAAATTTTCTAAATTAAAAAAAAAAAAGTATAGCTGGGTATGGTGGCACACACCTGTAATCACAGTTACTCAGAAGGCTGGGTCAGGAAGGACTACAAGTTTGAGGCCAGTCTGAGAAACTCAGACTGTCTGTCTCAAAAAATATAAAAGGGTGCATAGAGGGGCTTGCCTAGCATGCACACAGGCCTGGGGGTTCAATCCCCACTACTGCCCCACCCTCTCCAAAGGAAGGAATTATAGAAAACAGAATAGATTAAAAAATAAAATTTTACTAGAATGAAGTAAATAAGTATTACTTTCCTTTACACACACACACACACACACACACAATTTGTGAGTGTATGTGTGTGTAAATACTTCTAAAATAAGCCAAATAAGTGAAATGAAAAAACTGAGCAATTTGTATATGCACTAAAAGCATTTAAAACTCTTATGCACTTTGATCCTTCTCCTCCTGGAAATTTAGCCTAAGGAAACAATCAGAAATGTAATCAAATATATTAGGTATTTACTTCTGTACCATAAGCCAAAATAAGTTCACAAGCTATTTCTAAGTTCAAAAAAGCCAAATTATAAACCATTTACATGCACAATATATTAAGAAAATAAACAAAACCATGTTACACACATTTGAATTTCATACACAAAAAATATGTATGTACATGTAAAAAAAGACTATAAAAAAAGACTAATATGTTAACAGTGAATAATTATTATTAGATAGTTGGACTACGGGAAATTTGTTTTCTCTTTCAGTGCTGGTGATTGAACCGAGGACCTTACACGTCGTAAGCACTACTCTGAGCTATACTCCCACACCTTGAGAATTTTTCTTTTCTTTTCACCATTGTTTGTTTTTATATAATGCTGAGGATCGAACCCAGTGCCTCACACGTGGTAGGCAAGTGCTCTACCACTGAGCCACAACCACAGCCCAGAGAGTTTTTCTTTTGTGTCAGATCTCTGTTTTCCAAGTTCTTGACACAGCATCTATTATTTATAATGGGGGATGGGACTGGGAATGAGAAGTCTCAACTGTTATTTTAAAAATGCAATAAAGCCTAATAAACAGAAGGCTACAAAGCCCCTCCCCATTATGAAATAGGCTTTAAATTCTATTCCCTACCTAGAAATGTGAAGTGTTCTTTTCCCACCAGAAAGCTTTCACAAGAGGTGTGGGGTCACACTCTGAATAAAGCAGTTACCCCTATCCACTTGAGGTATATGGGCAGCTGTCCCAAATGTAGAACCTACCTGATTTCCCTGTCCATTGAAACAGGTTTGCCCAAACCAGGACTACGTCACTAAATATTTTCCTTATCTAAACACACGTAGTTGTATTATAAATCTCAGAATAAATTGGCTCAGAGAATCCAGTGATTTAAAATATCTTTGCTGTTCCCTTCTGGAAACCCAACTGGAAAATTTTAGTTTTTTTAAAAAGTAGCTCTATATTGGAGTTTATACGTTTAATCACTGGAGATTTTATTGTACACTCTGTTTAATGCAGCAGCATGGCTCTCAGAGGTGAGTTTAGCTACTTACCGGCATACCAGACCCTTGGGTTTCCTTCTTCCATACGACTCACCCATGATTCATTCCAAGAGTGGGCAAAGTCTACCAAGAGTACCAGCTGGATGAGGATGAAGAAAGCAGCCCCCACCATGCCGACAACAAACCACACTACAAACCAAAGGAATGGAGTTATTCTTTCCCACAGGAGGAACATTTCAGAATTATTTTCAACATTCTGAACAGATTTCAATAGACATAGTTAAGACATTCTGTCCCCAGCAGTATAGCAAGACTACTACAATTCCAAACTCAAATAGCATTCTCTGAGCAGTGTCCTATTAGGTTTCAGACCTTTTAAAACTTGTTTTAGCTTGTGCCAGGGGAGCCAAGGGTCTGACATTCCAACTGGTTCTATATAAGTCCTTTCCTTTACTTTTATGGGTGGGAGATTGCAACAGAAATCCTCAAATGTTACTTGATGCCATGTTAAGGAAGCAAGTTACAAATGACATAATGGAATAGAAGAGTTACAGGTCCTCACATTGACAAGGTTTCTGATTAACTTTATCTTGCCAAGTAAGATGATATGCTATCAAAATATTACCAAAAGATTAGCATGTGGTTCCCAAAAAGCTGAGAACAGGCTGAATGCCTCCTGGATTTAATCAATCACTGTTGTAATATTAGTATATCATCTCAGTTAATGGCTGGTTCTGCAAAATCATTAAGGAAAGTGTAGCTCTAAGTCAATCATCTATAAAACTGTACATTTTATAACTAACCCAACAGTAGTGAGCCATACCTGAAGTGAAAGAGCCCCCAGGGATGTAGAAAGATCCAACCATGATACCAACAATGGCAGCAATTTTGAAAAACCAAAACCTATTAAAAACAAAAATGCATTTATGTAATGTTAATTTGAGTTCTTACACTGAGAAACATAAATTTCTAAATGCAAAAATAAAGCCTTAATAGCATTACCAAAATGAATGACTGGCTTATTCATTTGATATGAGGCTATTTCATTCAATATTTCATATAAAGGACATCAGCAGCACAGAAAGTAATTCATTCACATTTATTATAAGAGAAACATGCAAATGTAAGAATCCACTTTTAGCACTTAAAGTAAGGACTTTTCTAGAATTATGGGTTCTAATAGGGTTAGTACATACAGATCCATTAACTACTAGGTTTGTGAGAAAATTTATTACCAAATCCTCCATTTATAACACAGGACATAAAAACCTTGCCCACAATCACACAGCTTATTATTAGCAAAGCCAGGGCCAAATCTGACTTTCAGTGTATCATCTTTTTTCAATATATACATCTTTTAGTTGTTGATAGACCTTTATTTTACTTATTTATATACAGTGCTGAGACTCGAACCCAGTGCCTCACTGTCAGAGTCTGTAAACAAGTCAAAATAACACCTGGCATTTTGCCAGGGGAATGTTAGAGTTCGTAAACAAGTCTGGATGGTGCCTGGCAAAATGCCAGAGGGTGTGGTTTGAGAAGTAACAAAAGCGAGCCATTAAGTGTAGAGATTCCTGATTGGTTGACTGATGTATCTAGTTTATGCTAATTAGATAAGCTCTGTGGAATGTATAAATACTGCTCCTGTCCTGCAATAAACGGCTCCTACTCCTGCTGTATCAACGTACACAAGTTATTCGTCACCCCCCCCCCCCCCCCCCGTTATTTTGCTGCAGCCGGACTGCGGCACCTCACACATGTCAGGCAAGTGTTGTACCACTGAGCCACAGTCACAGCCCCTCAGTGTATCATCTTTAATGATTGCCTTGCATGGCAGAAGAGAAATCACTGGCTGAAAGATCTCAGGCAAGATATATTTAACCTCTGAAATTCAATTACTGCACCTATAAAAAGGGAGATTACAAGAATTTACAGGGGGCTGGGATGTGGCTCAAGCGGTAGCGCGCTCGCCTGGCATGCGTGCGGCCCGGGTTCGATCCTCAGCACCACATACAAACAAAGATGTTGTGTCCGCCAAATACTAAAAAATAAATATTAAAAAATTCTCTCTCTCTCTACCTCTATCTCTCTCACTCTCTCTTTAAAAAAAATAAATAAAAATAAAAATAAAAGAATTTACAAAACTGTTTTCAGTTTTCAAATGAGAAATATTATATATATATGTGTGTGTGTGTGTGTGTATGGGAAATTGGTGATCAGGAGTAGGAAGAATTAAAGTATGTAAATCAGCAGTCCATATATATATTCACTATCTTTTTCATACACTGCTTAAATGTGTCAAGTACATGTTTCTATTTAAACAGCAGAAAGGAAAATGTGCGTTGTGTGTAGGGCTTAGCATAGTGTCTGACCTGTTCAAAAGTGTTCAACAGGGACAAGGATGTGGCTTGGTGGTAGAGTGCTTGCCTAATATGTGAGAAACCCTGGGTTTAATCCCTGGCACTGCAAAAAAAAAAAAAAGAGGGCAATAAGATAACTCCCTATCCCCTCCATGTTGTAGGGCTCCAGCTGAAAATGACATTAACAATTTCATGTGTATTATAATATAATAAAATAAAAAATACATCCGGCCCACTGATTGACATATTCTACTGCTTTCATCAGAATGGGCGCATTACCTGCTGAAGGAGAGGAAAGGCCACACCATAATACAACGACAAACAGTCTTACATACCCATTGTGTACTGCTGCTCTGGGATCTTTACTTGTTTTTACTTTTAACATGAGCAAAAAGAAGGCAAAGAAAAAGATGGCCAAGGCAAAGTTGATCCGATACACAGCTTTAAAACCGACCAGCACATCACAATCTTTATCTGCCTTTATATCAGCCACACTGATTTTAAATCCCCCTTCGCAGAATCCAGGAATCTGAGGGGAAAAAAAAAATTCCAAAGTTATGGAAATGTTCATGTTAATCAAAGATTCTATTTCACCATAGGAAAGCCTGGATTTATAAAACTGACCACTTCAGCAACTGCAAGGCTGGCTGTGGGATTTTTTTTTTTTTTAATATTTATCTTTTTTTAGTTGTAGTTGGACACATTACCTTTATTTTATTTATTTTTATGTGGTTCTGAGGATTGAACCCAGGGCTTCACACATGCTAGGTGAGCACTCTACCGCTGATCTACAACCCCAGCCCTGGCTGTGGGATTTTTGTCTTTTATTTCCCACTGACCAATAATACAGTTTCCAAAGAGTATAAACAACTTGCACTCAAAAACAAAAGTGCTCTCTTCTTTGCTAATGAGGTCATCTCAATTTTCCCATGAGATTTTCCAACTATCAAAGATTCCTTCCAAAGGAGAAGGACTAATCTTGCTTAAAGTGTAAATCTACAAGGAAAAAAAAAAGGCTTAGGATCCCTTTTAAATTCTGTTTTCTCTGGGTTTTGAAACCAGAGCCTGAATCTGTTCATTCTGACCACCTTTATATCTGAAAAAGGACTAATGTCCTAACGACCAAGTCTTGGCTACACTCAAAAATAATTTAAATACATAAAATTAAAATTACAATGATCTTGACTGAATATAACAGTAAAAATAATTAAACTGAAAATAAAATTTAAAAAGTATCTTATCCATCTACTACAAAAAAAAATTTTTAAAAAAAGTCAGCAAGTTAAGGGTACTGTTATTTCTACTTACCTTCTTCAGCTGAGTTTCCATCCCTTCCGTCAGCATGATACAGGACACAGCAGTTCCCAAGAGGAGAATAAAAGCATAGATGAGTCGAGTCACAGTGGAATTTTTAGTGTTGGGGCAGCAACTACACAACAAGCATGATGCGCCACTGCAGAGGCAGGGGACCTGCAGAGAGAACATCACAAACAGTCTGAGATCTCCTTCAGTGCTCTGGAGTCAATGTTATCTCTGCCACTTTACCTCAGCAAGTTACATAATCTAGTTCTATTTCTCCATCTGTAAAATGGATCTAACAACAGAATTTTCCTCTCTTCCACTTTGCTGAATTAAAAATGAGCATTTAACATAGTGTCTAAAACAAAGAGCCCGATAATTATATCCAGAGAGCATATTTTTTTGTGTTGTAACAATGTAAGAAAGATATAAACTTAACTCCATTTGCTGTTTCCTGAGAATCCCTAGTTGCCAAAGTTGTTACAGCGACCTCTTAAAAAATAATGATAGAGAGCTGGGGTTGTGGCTCAGTGGTGAGTGCCTAGCACGCGTGAGGTACTGGGTTCAATCCTCAGCACACATAAAAATAAATAAATAAATAAAGGCCCAAAATAATGATAGAGGTAGAATGCTTGCCTAGCATGCATGAGGCCCTGGGTTTAATCCTCAGTACTGAAAAATAATAAAAACAACAGTCATTTAGCTTCATTCAAGAATAACAAAAATTTCTCAAAAAGTTAAATATGCATGGTGATACATACCTATAATTCCAACTATTGGGGAGTTGAGGTCACAGAATTACAAGTTTAAGGCCAGGCTGGAAAACTTAGGGAACACTGTCTCAAAATAAAATAAAATGGTCTGGGGCTATAGCACAGCAATAGAGGGCTTACTTAGCATGCACAAGGTCCTAAGTTCAATCCCCAGTACCAGAAAAAAAAAAAAAAAAAATCAAAACACAGAATTACCATCTGATCAAGTTTTTCCATACCTAAGTATAAACACTCAAAGAAAATGAAATACTTATTCATACAGAAAGATAAATGTTCCCAGGAGCACTATTCACAATCAACAAAAGTAGAAACAACCCAAATATTCATTAACTACCAAGTAAATAAGGTATAAGTAAAATGTGGCATACCCATACAATGCATTATTCAGGTGTATAAAGGAATAAAGTACTCATACATAGTACAATATGGTGTGTGTGTGTGTGTGTGTGTGTGTGTGTGTGTGTGAGAGAGAGAGAGAGAGAGAGAGAGAGAGAGAGAGAGACAAACATGACATTAGTAAAAGAAGCAGACATAAAGGGTCACATACTCACTGTATTATTCCTAAAGAATATGGAAAATAACATCCCCCAAGAAAAGAGAAATGCAGTCCCCAGGGAGAAAAGGAGGACAGTATGATCTGGGAGGGGAGAGGGGAAGGCAAACATTAGGCCCTGGGCTATGGTCTTTCATCCTTTCCCAAGGACAATGGGTCCAGAGAGAAAAGGTAAACAAAGGGGCTCAGGGCTGTGGATTTTTATCCCAGTAACAATGAGTTTCAAGCTTTTACAGCTGTTTTCCTGAGTTAGATTTTTAACCTACACAACTAGTTTCCTGACTGCCCAGCAAGTCCCAAGTCTCTAATGATTAAGTCACACTAAACATTCTGCTATGATTAACTTTCATTAAGACCTATAAAAAGCAGACCCCTCTTATAACCAGTTACCATTTTCTCCCAAGTAAATGTGCCATGTGTCATTCACTGCAGCCTACTAAAGTCAGCTTGCAGATCGTGAGGTCTGGTCTCGTTTTGGGTTATTTTTGCTTATAATTCCATTTATATGAAATATTCAGAAACATAAAGACTAGGAGTTGAGGAAAAGAGGAATAGGGAAATGTAGATGTTCTGGAATTAGATGTGATGGCAATACAATACTAAAACCACTAAATACCACTGGATGATACACTTTAAGATTAGCCAGGCGTGGTGGCGCACACCTGTAATCTCAGTGACTAGAGAGACTGAGGCAAGAGGATCACAAGTTTGAGGCCAGCCTCAGCAACTTAGTAAGACCCAGAGCAACTTAGCAAGATCCTGTCTCAAGGTAATAAGCTTGGGGATGTAGTTCAGTGGTAAAGCATCTCTGGAACTCAATCTCCAATACCAAAAAATAAACAAACAAATAAGAATCAATACTATGCTATGTGACTTTTACTTCTGATAAAAAAAAAAATCAGCTGAAACAAGCAACCCAGGGGAAAGGATATAATTTGAAACATTTATATACATACTTGATTAGGAAATTGCTTGACTGGCTTTTGACAGGTGAGGTTATCAAGTCACTTGACAAAGTCAGGCTAATTCAGAATTAGCAGAAGTAGATGTAAACAATGGATCACTTTGGCTTTACAATATGGTCCCAATAATAATTTTTTGTTTTTAACAGATGATACCTTGTGTGAACTTCACCAGGATTTTGTAAGGTTTGGAGCAAGCTGCTAAACTTAAAAGCCTAGTTTTCTCATCTGTAAAAAAGAATATAATACCACCTACCTGAACAGGGTTACTGTGTGAAAAATATGACGACGTCCAGAATATAAATATACACTGAGTCCCTTCTATATATTTATTGTGTAATTCCAATAGCTAGTAAGAAAACAGACCAAGCCAGTCTCAGGCCCAAACACCAAAATGAAGTCTGTATCTGGTAACAGAAATACAGAAATTTTGACCCAGCATAATGATACATACTATAATCCCAGTAACTGGAGGGAAGGAGCAAGACCCTCCCTCAAAAGTTAAAAAGAGCTGAGGGTGTAAGTGCAATGGTAGAGCACTTGGCTAGCATTTATGAGGCCCTGGATTAAACCCCCAGTGCTGCAAATAAATAAATAAAACAGGCAAAAACTGGCACTAATTCTTCAGGCTTATTTTATCTATACTCACACACTATCTCCCTTTAGCTATGTTTTGCCTGATAAATTCAAACAATTTCACAGTAATCACCTACTGTCTGCTATGGGTTGAACTGTGCTCTCTCTAATGGTGAATTCCTAATTCCCAGTATCTCAGATTGTGACCAATTTGGAAACAGGGTCCCTGCAGATGTAGTAAGATAAGGCATATTGGTGTATACCCAATATGACTACTGTCAGTCATAAAAAGGAGAAATGTGGACACAGATTTGCAACACAGGGTTGCGATGTGAAGATGAAGACAGAGCTTAACAGGCCAAAGGATGTCAAAGACCACCAGCAAACCCAAGAGAAGATATGGCAGGGAAAAGATTCTCCCAAATTCAGAAGGAATCAACCTTGTTGACAACCTTAACCATTCTGTCCCATTGTCCCAGATGTGGAAGACTTACAAAAACTTAAAATGAACAACAAATATACTGCTTATGGCAACTGAAATATTTGACTATTATTTTTGCAGAACTGAAAACTTGGACTTAATGAGTTAATCTTGGACTTCCAACCTCCAAGAATTGAGACAATAAATTGCCTTTGTTTAAGTCACCCAATGGGTAATACCTTGTTATACAGTCCTAGCAAACTAATACATCCATTTATTTACCAACTATCATACCTGTAACTAACCACCTTTAGTGTTCTATCTCCTGCATCTTTACATAGTAAAAATGAGTAAATGTGCAACAAACCTGTCCTATGTGTTATATCATTTCACTTTTCCATTGAAAGACAACTCTTCTTTTTCAGGTGTTGGGGCCCAAAACCCAATCATCCTGGATGTCTTTTCATTTTCCAAAATCCTCAACCAGTTTGTCAGCGCATCAGCACCATCGCCAAAGTATAACCAGGATTTGACTTCCTTCATAGCATCCTTTACTGTCACCTTGGTTCAAGCTACAACTATCAACTCTCATCTGGATTATGCATAAACTCAATCTCACTGCTGTAGGGACCCAGTGGGGCCCCTGAAGTGGTATAAAGATTACTTTAAGCTGAAGACACTGGATAGTCAATAAATGCAGGGAGGAAAAGGCCTTCTCAGAACTTTCCTCAACTGACTAAAAGCAGCAACTCCTGGGAAATCTCCTAGGCTGCCATATATTCCTGTTCCAGGGGAGTTTAAAGAAGTACCTTTCACCTCTGTAAACAAGAATTATTACAAATCTTATCTGCCATTTACCCTCCTAAAAACTCTGTCTTTCCTAGGGGAATAAAAACAAAACAAAACAAAAAAACAACTATTTGTTCTTCCTATAGAAGCCTCTTTGTGTCTCCTATAAAGTCAGGGATATAAGCTCCTTTGAATTACTAACTATTCCAGTGTGTATGTCTGCTACAAATTATAAACTCTTTTTAGAAAACCCAAAGACAGGGCTGGGAATGTGGCTCAAGCGGTAGCGCGCTCGCCTGACATGAGTGAGGCCCGGGTTCGATCCTCAGCACCACATACAAACAAAGATGTTGTGTCCGCTGAAAACTAAAAAATAAATATTAAAAAAACTCTCTTTTTAAAAAAAGAAAAGAAAAGAAAAGAAAACCCAAAGACAAATGGGATGCAGTGGTACACAATGTAATCCCAGCTATTTGAGAGACTGAGACAGGAGAACTTCAAGTTTTAAGGCCAGTCTCCACAATTTAGTGAGATACTCTCAAAATAAAAAGATCTGGGATTTAGCCAAGTGGTGAGTACCCCTGGGTTCAATCCCCAGCACCACAATAAGTAAATAAATAAATAAGACCCTGTATCGAAATAAAAATTTTAAGAAAAGGCTGAGATGTATCTCTGAGGTACAGCACTGCTGGGTTCAATCTCCAGTATTATGGGGAAAAAAACATTAAACATCTATATTTTTTTCCCTCTTGCTAATCTCTCTTTTGTGAGTTTAGGAGGGAGTTTTTCCTTCCCTATATTGTTTTATCCTTATGTTTCCACTATCTATTCCCCACACAGCAACTAGAACCCATCTTGTTAAAACACATGTCAGATTATGTCAATCCTCTTTTCAAACTCTGCAATGGCTTCCCTTATCACTTAAAAGTAAAAGCCAAAGTCCTTAAACTCTGTAAGACTGGGCTGGGAATGTAGTTCTGTGGTTCAGCGAACATGTCTTTAGCATGTCCAAGGTCCTGGGTTCAAAAGAGACAAAACAAAACACAACCCAGTAAGACCATATAATGGATATCCATGTGATTTCCATTTGTTTTTGTTTCTGTTTTTGTTTTCTCTTGCTGGGGATGGAACCCAGGACCTCCAGCATGCTAAGACAAACACTCTTCTGCTGAGCGAGTCCCCTGCCCCCACTGCTGCCTTTCTTACTTAATTTCCTGTTATTCTTCGAACTCACTCCACTCTGGTATAATAAACTCCTTGACATTCCTACTGAATAAAAGGACTGATAAATATAAAAGCCATTTCTAGATATAGCATCAATTAAAATCCTAGTTTGAACTCAAAGCCAAAATGTTTTTCAGGTTATCAAGATAGGAAAGACATTTTGTTTCAAAATACCAATCAATTCACTCCTTAGTATCAATATTGTTAAGTATATATTTTAACTATTTTGTAAGTAGATTTACTCCATTAGTGACTGTAAAAATCAACTAGTGAGGGCTAGTGGCTCAGTGATAGTGTTTGTCTAGCATGTGTGAGGTACTGGGTTTGATCATCAGCACCACATAAAAATAAATAAAATAAAGGTATTGTATTTATCTACAACTAAAAAATTCTTTTAAATCAACTGGTAAAGATTTTTCGGTTTAATGTAATAGAAAATTAAAAAAAAATTGTAAAGTTAAGAACTACTTCGTTAAACTTGGGGTGCATTGGATGAACTACGTAAAGTGAATTTTAGCATTAGATGAACTACATAAAGTGTATTTAAGTCAAGATCAAAAAACTGCTCAAGAAACCCCTAAATGGCCTAACTTCTTTTTTCTCTTAAGATAAACAACCTTGAAAGATAGAAAATATTTTCTGTCCCTAAGAGACAGTAGTGGAATGTGCTGAGACCGAATCTTTGGTCAATTGCATCATTTAGGGAATTAAGAAACAATTAGGAAATGATTCAAGGAACCATGCTCCTCTGAAGCATAAATAAGGAAATTCAACATATTCTCTTTCAAAAATCCTAACATCTTCTTTTCAAAATGTTTACCGTTTACAAAGTGATTCACTTTGTCACGTTATCTGCACAACAGTTCTCGATGTGAGGAATAGCAGTGTTTTTCCTCCAGAAAAATAACCTGTATAGGTCCCAAAATGTTAAAGGCCACAGCCTCCAGTTTTGGTGAGCCACCCTTGCACCAGAACCGCAGGCAGGCTTTGGTTAAAATCCCAATCCTGCCACGTACTCCGTAGCTTTGGCAAATCCCGTGTTATGGAATAAAAACATGATTCAAACCGCCCAAAATTAAAGGACGCCACCTTAAGAAGAGCTTCCAAATGAACCCACGGGCCCCCGCGGCAGGGCTCCCATTCCTTGGTACCACTCCAGCGCCCAAGGAACCTAGAGTCCAGAAGGTTCGCGGGGGCAGGGCAATCGGAATTGTAAACAATGGCAGTTAGGCCTCCCACGTTCCTCCGTGAATGCGGAAGGCGACCCGAGCAGCTCCAAGCCCACCTGGGGACATCGTAGACTGTGGCCTAGACCCTCGAGACCTCCGCAGCCCCGGGCCTAGCTCCTTCTCCCGCGGGCACCTGGGGCCGTAGCCCGTTCGGATCTGGGATAGGGACCATTACCATTCCCTGAATACCACAGGTCCGTCGAGGACACAGGACTCCGAACTCACCCAGCTGGCGAGGGAGAAAACGCCCAGCACAGCCCCCATGGTGATGCTGTAATGGAGGTGCCCGGTCCGGATGGAGGTGCTCACACGATGTTAACTGCCAGCTGAGGCGTCGCCCCAGAAACGCGACAGTATCTCGGGCCGGAAGTACAGCCCACCTCCTCCCACGACGCGCGGTTTGCGTCATTGCGTGGTCCCGCCCACTATCCTCCGCAGTAGCTGCCTAGAGGGCACCTGTGATTGGCAGGAGATGGGAGAGGCGTGGCTAAATCTGCCTTGGGGGCAAGACCTGCAAAAGCTGCTTTCCTATGTCTATTGTATTACTGGGAGGCTGATCTGAAGATCTGGGGTGTCGGGAAGTGCATAGATGTGCACAAAGAGACACGCTGTCTACCCTCATAGAACTTGTGACCTAGGTTGAGGAGACTGACGATGAACATAAATGCATCAAGCCATAGTGTGATGAATACTGTGAAGAAGTAGTATAGGGAATATTTTTTCAATAAAAGAATAGCTTAGTGGTAGAGTACTCTGGGTTGGATACACAGCACCAGGGAGAAAATGCATAATTATATATATTATATTTGTATATAAGTTGTATGTATTTTATAAAATTATATGTATAATTAAATATATATTTAAGTGCCCACTTTATAAGGGAAATATAGTTTAGTTGGGAAGTAGTCATAGAAGTCTTTTCTGAGTAATTTATATTTGACTTGTGAACAGAAGGATGGATCCAAGTTAACCAAGAAATGTTTCCTATGTCAAAGGACAATTCTGGGTTCAATTCCCAGTACTGGGGGAAAAAAATAACGTCATTATGTTTTTTGGTGGTCATAAACTGAACTTTCTATGAAGAGTAAAGACAGATGGCAGAAGTTGGAGCTGTTAGAAAACATGAGCCTTCTTGTGGGTTCTGAGATTATGGTTTAGTGTTTTCTTCTGGAAGGGCCAAGTGAAGTTAATGAAGCTACAAATGATCAATCCTGGTAAACAGGAAAACTGGCAAGCTTTGTAGGGTTTCAGAGGTTGAGTCCATAATGAAATAGACCCAAGATGAAGCAGAATATAATGACAGAAGGGCACAGCACAGGAAATCATCCACATGGCAACTAGGAATCATCACTGATCCGATAAATAAACATGTTTCAAGCAAATTGAGATTTCCCCCTTCTAGGAACACAGGCTTAACAGATAAGCATCCTACAAAGCAAGTAGAGATACCCCCCTGAGCAGCTGCATCTCCTGGGCACCAAATGGAGATTCCCCTCAGTGGCAACCTCCTTGCCACTTGACAAAGCTCTGTGTACTGTACAAACTCCTCAACTTTCACCTTTATTCTTTTCCCGCTTTGATCCCAAGCCTGCTGCAACACCCAATGCCCTTAAATCTGTCTTCCAGGTGTGAAATACTGGAATTAATGGTTCCTTTTCCTGCTTCACCATCAACTTCTCCACCTTTTTTTTCCTGGGGATTTGAGTGGCCAGACCAAGCCATCAGGGATCCTGGAGTTCAGCTTCTATCTGGGACCCTGGTAACAATTACACAGGTATCTGATGAGGGCAAGTACAGTACTAAGCAGTACATTACTAGGCTATACATGATTAATTGCTAGGACAATTGTAAAGAGTCTTAGAAGCTGCTTTTGCTACAAAGCACTGACTCTTCAGTTGGGCCTGCAAATGTAACTAAGGGCAGGATTAAGCCTGGTATCTCCACCTTCATTTTGTATCTTCCTGCCTTGCTACCTTAAACTTTGGGTCAGATTACTGCTCAGCTCTGCATGTAGGCAGGTTAATCACTTAAGTCTGTGTAAAAATTGGTATTTCTAGGTTTGTGACCCCTATATTTACATAACCTATCTAGTCCCCCTTCAAAGACTGAAGACACCAAGATAAGAATAAGGCATTTTTAAGATTTGCAAGGACATTCAACAATCAGCTTTTAAAAGGTCCTGTCCAGTCCCTCAGGAGAGGTGCCCAGAGGTCTTCAGTCATTACCCTAAACTTACTCAGTCACATTGGATTCCAGGAACAGCAGAGCCTTGTAAGCAGATCACCCCATGATAAGATCACCTCCCCAAGGGGGAGCAATTACTCCAGGACAGGAACTTAGGCTGCTCTCCTAAGCAGGAACAGTCATCTCACAAGAACTGGATTGTCCCTTAAAACATTAAACACTTCTCCTGGAGCCACCTTGCAGAACAAAAAACTGAGATAATGATCGGCAGGACCAAGACTGCTTAATTATGCACACTTCTCGCTCCCTGCCCCAGTTCTTCCTCTATTTAAACTTAAAGCTCATGTCAGCACCCCCAAAGACATGACTACAGACTCCTGTTCTCTCTTGTCTTCTCAATGTAGCTAGATTGATTAAATTCTTTCCTATTTCATCATTATTTTTGTTTGTGTGTGTGTTTTGGGGAGGGTGGAAGTGGCAAGACCGAATTTGTTGGGACTACCAGAGTCAGGCCTCTAGCCTAGGACTCCAGTGACACTATCTCTTATGGGAACAAAGCTGTAGTCAAAACTAATTAGCTTTACTGGACTGAGGGTATAGCTCAGTGGTAGAGTGTTTTCCACGCACGTGCAAGCCCCTGAATTGGATTCTGACACTTCTCCCCCGAATTAGGTTCATTGAGCTTATTCAGCAAGGGAGAACACACACCAGAGACACTAGGAGATGTCTTGGTAAGATGTAAGTGGGAGGAGTTTATTTTAGGACTTGTGTTTATGCAGCTAATGCTAAGGAAATAGGGATCTGTTTTGCACCGGACACGGTCAAGTAGGTGGGCCAGTTCAGTGACTAGGTATCTAATCATTTTTATCCAGGAGGTAGGAGGTGCCGCAGTCTGGCTGGGCACAAATGCCGCAGTCTGGCTGGGCACACAATCACGAGCCACCACACAGCTTGTAGATTCAAACAGCATCTCTTTATTCCCGAACTCACACCAGCTGTCTACAATCACGTTCTGGGGAAATCCACGTTCTCTGCCCAAATCCACGTTCTCTGTCCAAATCCACTTCCACTCGGCTTCTATCTCCAAAATATATTGTCTGAATCCCGTGAGAACTCAAGGGGAACTCAGGCAGCAGGATACGCCCTATTCCCAGCAGGAATAATCTTAAACCTTAAACCTGGAACCTAAACTGGGAACGCCCTAAACAAGATTATCTTAAAACCGGGAACACCCTAATCTGCCTTGGTCCTTGAGCAAGGTCACGTACATTCAATGTCACTGCAACATGGGGTACGCTGGCAAGGAAATTGTCATACCTACTTGGCTAATGGCTCCCAGCATCTCCCCCCTTCTGATTAATTAAACAACAAGCAATGTGGCTTAAGGACCGTGCCTGGTAGGTTGTCCAATTCAACATATGGTTCTTACCCGTCATGGGAAAAACTGACCTTTAGGCGTCAGCCTCCTGTCTTAGGTTGATACCACTGCAATTGAATCATACCCGTCACTGACTACCGGTCCAGCATACAGCCATACTTGTGGATAGGTCTATGCACCAGTGGGGGGGTGAGGTTCTTTGCCTCACCTCTGTTGGCCCCCAAATTTGGCCTTGGTGCCAGTGGGGGAGTGAGGTTAATGTGGCTTATGGACCGTGCCTGGTAGGTTGTCCAATTCAACATATGGTTCTTACCCGTCATCGGAAAACTGACCTTTAGGCGTCAGCCTCCTGTCTTAGGTTGATACCACTGCAATTGGATCATACCCGTCACTGACTACCGGTCCAGCATAAGCCATTGGCCCCCAAATTTTAGACCATCACTAGCAGAAGGCAGGAGGATACAGAAATGCCACGACACCAAGCCAATTGACGGCTCCTTGGGAAAAATTGCATCACTGGTGACACCATCAGCAAAGATATGTCAGCACTACCACAATTAACATGGGGTGCGCTGGCAAGGAAATAAAAATTGCATCACTAGTTAATCACTGTCGCAGATGTAAGAATGGCCAAGCTGGAGCTCTGGATATCAGCTGTTATGGATTTGAGTCAAATCATCTTCTTTTCCATCTGTAGAAATTGTTTTAGTTAATCTCTCTGGAATCCAAATCGGCTGTTCTCCCTGTGGAAACACACAAACAAAACCCCGACTCCAGACAATCACTGGGTCAGGACCTTTCCATTGTCCTGTTAGAATATCTTTCCAAAGTACCTTAGGCTTATGTACATTTTTTGGATACATATGTCTTTCTGCAGCACTAAGTCCTTATGAATCCAAATTTAAAAAGTTTAGTGTAAAAAGCATTATTTTAAGTTTATCTTTGGGGGATATATACCCCCTTCCAATTCCCTTTTTGCTTTAATAAGTATATGTCTGTATCTAATAGTTGTCTTAGCTTTTTGCATTTTGTATCTGTAATACCTTACTTGATATTTTCAACCATTTTTTCTTATTTCTATCTTCTAGTTTTTTTTTCTAAGGTTTATATATTTACCCTTAGTTGCTTATTTTCCTCCTAGTTTTCTTGTTTCCTATTTTGTGGGTTTAAAATTCTTGTCTTTCTACATCTTTTTAATCTTCCTATATCTTTTTTATCTTTCTACATCTTCTCTCTTTTTTTTTTACCTTTCTGTACTTCTGTTTTTAAAGTTTTTCACTTTAAATTTTTAATCTTCTTTATCTAAATATCTTTTATCCTGTTATCTTCCCATTTTTTTTAAAGTAATGCCTTTAAGATTAAGCTTCTTTCCTCCATCATGAAGGCATTTTAACCACCTTTAATTTAACCTTTTAAAGCCTTTTAATTATCATCTATACTGTACTTTTAAATGTACTTTTTCACCACCTACAACTTCACTCTTTTAAACGAGGCTTAGATTTTGTTTAAATCGCTTCAATGTTAGTTTACATGGCTGCCCTTCAACCAAAGGCTTTTTTTTTTAACTCCATTGAGAAGCTTTGTCTCAATCTGCCATGTACAAATACCTTTTTCTTCTTTCTTCCTTTCTCAAGCTTTTAAAGTAAGTCTAGTTTCCTCAAAATCTTTTTAAATGGCATTTTACAACTTTTTACTTTACCACACAGAGATTATCTCATCTAGAAACATTTCTTTTTCCTTTAACCTTTTATATTAATATATTTCCACGTCTTGAATCTTTTTCTCTATTTTTTAACCGTTAACCCTTTTTATAAATTCACATTTTGAAACAACTCTTATAAAATTTCTGATTTAGACAAATTACTCCACTTTAATAAGATGAAAGACTTTCATGTTTTTTATGATACTATAATACTACAATTGAAACCCAACTGAAAATTTTTCTACTCTTTGTATATAAATTACACATGATAGAATCTTAACACTTAGTAACCTTGTTTTAGCAAAGACACAGACCAAAGCAATATTAAACATTTTTTCCATTCACCAATTTATGAAAACACACATGCTTAAATATATTACCTTATGTAACTTAATAAGTAAAGAGTGGTTGATGTTTCAACATTTTAGCTTTGTAAATTAATCAGAACTTTGTAGAAACCAAGATCTTAGACAAGTGTAGCAAACAGAACTAGCCATCTCTTGTTGAAGAAAAATCCTTCTACAGGATACCATGGTGGTCCCATTGATATACTTAATAACTCGTCTTTAAAAAGCCATGGGCTACATTTTTGTATTGTATCAACATATGCCCTAATTATTCTTGGTCTCATTGGGGTGCCTCCTTCCTCTAACAATTTCTCTTGCTCGGAGGCGAACAACTTCAAACCTTGAGTCACCCATTTTCCCCAGTTTGCCTGAGAAAGTTCTAGGAACAGGCAACTTGAAATAAAAACAAAATAAATCAAAACAATAACACATTGTTTTTTGAAATGTTCACCCATTCTTTCTCTCTTCCTCAGGGGTGAGAAATTTCACTTACCTCTAAGCTTCAGAAGTTCCCCGTACGGGCCACCAAATGCCGCAGTCTGGCTGGGCACAAATGCCGCAGTCTGGCTGGGCACACAATCACGAGCCACCACACAGCTTGTAGATTCAAACAGCATCTCTTTATTCCCGAACTCACACCAGCTGTCTACAATCACGTTCTGGGGAAATCCACGTTCTCTGCCCAAATCCACGTTCTCTGTCCAAATCCACTTCCACTCGGCTTCTATCTCCAAAATATATTGTCTGAATCCCGTGAGAACTCAAGGGGAACTCAGGCAGCAGGATACGCCCTATTCCCAGCAGGAATAATCTTAAACCTTAAACCTGGAACCTAAACTGGGAACGCCCTAAACAAGATTATCTTAAAACCGGGAACACCCTAATCTGCCTTGGTCCTTGAGCAAGGTCACGTACATTCAATGTCACTGCAACATGGGGTACGCTGGCAAGGAAATTGTCATACCTACTTGGCTAATGGCTCCCAGCAAGGAGGATTAAAGGTTGGAAAAGCAGCAGAACCCAGTCATGTTACAAGAGGAGATATATAGTTATATTTATGGGGCCAGAATGGTCTTGGCTCTAGTTTCGACCACATAGTAGCCTTATCTGGCATTTGTTTATATTTTGTGATCACTGTTTATGTTCAGTTAGGACATTGGGCCTAGCTGCCAGCAGAATAGTTTTTTTAATTTGTTTTGTTTTTGACTTTTTGCAGTGGTGGGGATGGAAGTCAGAGCCTCATGCACATTAGGCAAGCGCTCCACCACTGACCTATAGCCCCAGCCTTCATTTTTCATTTTCTTTCTTTTTTTTTATGTTTACATATTCTTTTTACATTTACATATTTTTTACATAAATAAAATACAGTTTATTTATTTTTACATGGTGTTGAGGATTTTAAACCAGGGCCTCACACATGCTAGGCAAGCGCTATACCACTGAACTACAGACCCAGCCCTCATTTTTCATTTTCTTAACTGCGAGTGTTTATACTCCCATATATGTGATACCATCCATCTCTTTAGTGCTTCTGGTCTTTAGATAGTTGTGGGTCTACTCTAGTTGTCAAAAATTTGAAGGGCAGATCTTTGAGATCATCTACTTCAATTTATCACCTCATGCAGGACCCCCTCAACATCCCTTATAGGATATAAGACTCACTGACAACCAAGGAAGCTCCTCACATCTTTTTTTTTTTTTTAAACTGCATAAAAGAGTATGCAGTGAAATAAAGTGTCCTTCCCATCTTACCACTCCCAATCTTCCAGATCTCCTTCCAAAGTTTGTGTATACTTATGCTAGCATTATCTACTACACCTTTTTAGACATGGTACTATTCCAAATACATGGTGCTGTACATTGCTTTTATTCACTTAACTTATTCATTCAATAAATATTTACCAAGCTCTTACTATGTATCAGGCACTATTTCCAGTGATAAGAACAGTAAGGAACAAAACAAAGTACTTCATGGGCTGGGATTGTGGCTCAGCAGTAGAGCGCTTGCCTAGTAAGTGTAAGGCACTGGGTTTGATTCTCAGCACTGCATGTAAATAAATAAATAAAAGTATAGGTCTACCAAGAACTCATAAAAATATTTTTTTAAAAAGTACCTAACCTTAAAACAAACTTAATCCTAGTGAACAGATAAGTAATAAAGAAACATAACCATCAGACGTTAACAAGATTAGTGAAGAAAGAAAAGAAGAAAAAGAGAATTCAGATTTGTGGGGAATCTACTGATTTTTTTTTTCCTTTGAGACTGGATCTTGCTGTGTTGTACAGGCTGGACTTTAACCAGAAGCCCTCTTGCCTTAGCCTCACTGAGTGGCTGAGACTACAGGCATGTGCTACCATACCTGGCTCATTAGTTTACTAATTTAAAGAGAGGTCAGGGGCTGAGATTATAGCATAGTGGTAAAATTCTTGCATCACATGCACAAAGTCCTGGTTCAATTCCTAGTACTGCAAAATAAATAAAGAGGAGGCAGGACATGTTTTTTGGGGATGGGATATAAGAGCAGAGACATGAAGGAAGAGAGGACCCAAGTGATAGGGCTATCTGGAGGAAGGCTGGTCCCAGTGTGGACCAGCAAAAGCCAAGACATCAAACCCACAAAAACAAGACAAGACAAAAGAAAAACACAAGGCTAGTGTGCTGCAGCATGGACAGGCAGGAAAATGGTGAGAGGTGAGGTTGGGCAAGTGTTCAGGGGATAATTCACCTAAAGGGATTGTTAATTACAACAAATCTAGATTTTATTATAAAGGTGATGCAAAGCCGTTAAGAGGCTTTAAACAGAATATCATGGAAACCAGATTTAAAGATAGGTAGTTAGTGTAATTAGGTAAATTGGGTCTAATATAGAGTAAGATACATAAAATGGAGACCATTATAGAGAACGGAGTCCAGGAAACCCCGAGCAGCACTTCGGGAAAGTGAAATTTTAATGACCCAAGGCCTGGAATCCACCCTAAGAAACTGTTAATGAAGCAGCTCCCAGCAAACAGGGAGGTGCTAATCAAACCACCCCAGGCCCTTCCTGCCCAGATTACTCCTTCAGTCCACCTATCTCCCACCTTTAGGGCCTTCCCACCTGCATTCTATCACTGAAAGACAAAGGGAAACAAAGGACAGCAGCGTGGGAAAGCTAAAAGAAGACTTTAGCTATAAAAAAGGGAAGACGACCCCCTTCCATGGACTCCACCTTTTGGGTCCCCTTCTTCCTCCTCCTCCTCCTCCTCCTCCGGGGAAAAGTCTTTTCTGCTGTCCTTTATAAAGCTTCAGGTTTCCACTCTAAACTTAACATTGTCATGCTCCTCTGGTGCTATACTTCAGCATTTGGGAAGCAAGGACTGGTCACCTGTAAACAGCAGTAACATCATGATCTTATTTACACTTTAAAAGGATCATTTCTGGACACTGGTTGGAGTACAGATCACATAATTCCTCTTCCTTGTAATTGTTTTCTTGGTCAGTTCAAGAATTCACTTTCTCAGCAGATAGTAGTCTAATACACATATAGACTCTGGTCCCCTCCATTTTTAAATGCCCTTTAAAAGTTGTCTTTTATCATATTTTTCCTCTGTATTTTACAGCACACAACCGGCTGTCAGTTCAAAAATTACACAGGGAAGGAGGATGTCTAAGAGTAGAAGCAGGACTAGTTAACAAGATAGGTCTATTATCTAAACTGTATCTCCAGCTGTAAATTCCCCTCCACCCTTTAAATTCTTGCAAGAGTCATCTATTTTAGGAATGTACCGGAATCTATTTACTCAAACCTCCTATTGATGGACACTTAGGTCGGTTTCAATCCTTTTGCTTTTACAATAAAGAAAGGAACATTCTTTGTGTTCAGGTTCCAATATTCTGCAGCATTGTTCCAGGAAGTGTAATCCGACCATAAGTTAAAATACATTATTTCCCATATTGAAATTGATTCTGGTGAGTAAATTCTCAGCCAAAGAAATAAGTTTATTTACTCCTTGCTCCCAACTTCAGAGATTATAACAGACAGGAATCCACCATTCCTCCCAAATTAATTTTCCAGTCCTTTTAAAAAACATTCTCTGTCCGGCAAGCTTCTGCCTGAGGGTCCCTCTCCTTCCCAAACGGTCCCCTTATCCGGTTACAGAGAGATTAACAGACAAAAGCCGCTCCAGAACCCAAAGTCCAGCCCCTGGCTTCTGTGTCCCTCTTCTCGCATCTTCCCGGGGACCAAGTTCCGGGCTGACAAACCTAACCAGGTGGCTCGAGACTCCGGATCCCGATCCCCACCCTCTTCTCCCTCTTCCGCCCGCACCGCGGCTGCGGAAAGCGACGAGAATCCTCCAGGTCCCATCCGAGCCGCCGTAGCGCGAGCCCCGCTGGAGTTCTCAGCCCCGGTCGCCAAGGCAACGGCTCCGCTGCGGGCTGCGGGCGCCTGGCCGCCCCGGGGAGGCGCTGCGCGCCGGCGGCCCCACACGGCGAGGCGGCGAGACAGCAGGTGAGCGGGGACCAGCGGGTAGCCGCGGCCCTAACGCCCCCAGCCAGGTGTGAAGTGAACTCGTCCTGTGGGCGAGGTGCTGGGCCGCGGGGGACCGCGGGGAAGGACGGAGGGGCCAGACTTTTGTCCCCCTCAACCGCGCCGGGAGTGGCGCCTTCTCTGCCCTTTGACCTCGTCCCGCGTTCGGGTGGAGTGAGCTTTGGGCGGTTGGCTGTATTTTTGCGCTTTGCTTGACCGCTTTCGAAAGAAAGTTTCTTTCTTTCTTTTTTTTTAAAGACCCTTATTATTTTGGGAACCAGGGAATAATTCAAAACTGCAGAAAATTGTGTGACTCTTCTGGGGCCAGAGAGGTTTGACTTCTTCATCAGTTTTCTTACCTGCAAAATGGGAATAATGATAGCACCTGTCTTATAAGGTTATTGCAGAGTAAATTTATGTTTAAAATCCTTGCAGGTAAGTGTCCTTAATACTCTGGAGCTTTTATTGTCACTACTACTACAAGGAGCATCATTGAGCATTTATTGTGAGCCAGGGCCTGGGCTGATCGCCAGGGTTAAAAAAATGAATGAGAAATCTTGTCCTCAGGGAACTCTGCAGTTTCACAGAGACAGACTCATAAACAGGAACTCATTGTGATTTGAGCTGTGATTTTGGACATACTGAGAACTGAATGCACAGGAAAGGCAGTGGATCTAGATTTTTCAGAGATGATGATGGTCAAAGATTCTAAAAGAAGGGGACTTCCAGAATAGACATGAAGGCCGCCTTGGTATAGGTCAGAAGCTGAGGCTGGAAAGGTGCAGTGTAGTGGGTAGGCAGGACAGCCAGTGCAGAGCCCCAGGGAGAGAGTGCAGCCTTCTTGGGAATCTGCAGGGATTTCATGCTGCCTAGAGACAAGATTCTGAGAGTGGAGGTGGTCTAGTTAGTTGATGTTTGAGAGATAAGAAGTTGCCCCTTTTGTAAGACTTTCTTTACCAGTTTGAAGAGTTGGACTTTATTTGGGGGGAGAGGAAGTCATCAAAGGGTTTTAATAGGTGTGTGTGTGTGTGTGTGTGTGTGTGTGTTTGCACTCGAGTGTACATGCAGGTACATGCTCCTTCAGAGGTATGGTTTCAGAAAAATCAGGGTTTTTTTGTTTGTTTGTTTGTTTTTAGTCTTGTCACTCCTCGTTTATTTTTCCACTTCACAGCTATTCATTTATGGTGGTTCAAAAACTAGTTATTGAATATTGTCTTAGACCATATTTTCACCTAAAGCTGGGTAATTTTATAAAGAAAGTTTATTTGGCTCGCAGTTCTGGAAGTTCTAGGCAATGACCTTCTATGGGAAAGGGTAACTGGATATTGAACCCAGGAAAACACTGCCATTGAGCTGTATTCCTCTTTTAATTTTTTTTTTTAATTTTGAGACAGAGTTTTGCCAAGTTGCCTATGTTAATCTTGAACTTGCAGTTCTCCTGCCTCAGTCTCTTTACCAGCTTGGATTGTAGGCATGCACTACTATGCTTAACTTGACAATGGCCTTACTGGCAGAATCAGGGGGTAGCTCAAGGCACCACGTGGCAGGAGACAGAGCAGAGGTATGTCTTCTTGTCTGTCTCCCTCTCTGCTACCAGTATGCAGTCATGGGAGCTGCACCCTGACAATTTTATCTCATCTAATCATCCCAAAGGCCCCACTTCTGAACAATATCCTCTTAATATCTCACAGTGGAGATTCAGTTTCATCATATGAACCGTTGGGTAACACGTGCACACCATATCCAAATCATAGCAAGTGTCTTATTATGTGCCAGGCACTGTGTAGGTGGTAAGGAAACTGATCTCTGCTCTCATGGAGATCACAGACTGGTGAGGAAAATATGCGTCAAGTGGTTTTAAGTGTGATGAGGGTTATGAAATGGGGCTTGTGTTAAGGTGAATCCAACCTAGTTTGAAGGTTCAGGGAGGGTCTTGAGGGAGTAGTGTGAGTTAGATATATGTGGGGGGATGTAAAAGAGTAGTATTCCAAACATGTTCAAAAGAACATTCATGGAAATGAAACCAGTCTGCTCCAGCAGGAACTTAAAAATCAATTATGAAAGAAATCCATCAAGAGAGATTAAAGAGAGGAAACGGCTAGATCATTCAGAGCTACTGCACTGCACACTCTGGGAAGAACCTGTTCAGTTAGGCTACACTGAGGAGAACAGGTTGGAGAAGTAGGAGGGAAAGCAGGAGATGTAGTAATGAAGGCCAGAGGAAGAGTCAGCTTTGCTAGTGGCTGCTAGATGTCAAGTAAGATGAGGCAAAAATTAAAATGTGTTCTGTAAATAAATAAGTAGCAGAGGTCACTAGGGACCTCATTGAGCAGATTTGGTGAAATGGTGGAGGCAGAATCTATAATAGCCACAGCTTTCAAAGGTTCAGTGTAATGTATCAGTGGGATGAGGTCAGAGTGGGATGTGAGAAAAAAGACGAAGTGTAGGCAGCTCGAACATGTTCGGCTGAGCAGGGAGGAGGAGAAGGCTGGAGAGTGATTGAGGAATAAGGTGAAGTTTTTTTTTTTTTTTTTTTTAAGCATGAGAGAGAGCTTAAATGCTGTTGGCAACAAGCCAGTAGGAGGGACAGGCTGAGGAGATGCAGGAGCCAAAGAGAAAAACTGAGAGCACAACTTTCCTGAGAAGGTGGGAGTGGGAGCTCCATAGCAGCGGTCCTTGCTAATTATCTCATGGTTTACTCTTTTGGGAGAATTGGGGAGAGAGTTCATTGCCAACAGAAGTGCACCAGTGTCATGCAACAAAAATATATGAATAAAAAATATTATCGTGGAAAGAAAGTCACATTTTTGTTATTGGTAGGCAGCAGGTATTTATTGAACTAATATTGTGTTAAATACTTTTCATACACTAATTTCAACAATATCATCCCTCCTTCCCTGTGCTGGGGATTGAACCCAGGGGCATTTTTCCATTGAGCTCCATCCCCAGCCCATTTTATTTTTTATTTTGAGACAGGGTTTCACTAAATTACCCAGGTTGACCTTGAACTTGCGATCTTCCCCCTGCCTCAACCTCTGGAGTAGCTGGGATTATAGGTATGTGTTGCCATGCCCAGCTCAATAACATGATCTTTACAGTAATCCTGTGAGATAGGCCCTATTTTGATCTCCAGTTTATGGATAAGGAAACTAAGGTAAAATGCTTACCCACAGTCAGACTGTATTTGAATCCTATATTTTACTCTGCCTGAGCCTAGAGCTTTTACTCTTAATCACTACTTATGTGATATAATTCTCTACCTGTGATATGATTATATGCTAAGAAAATTAAGTTAAAAATACCTAGATATAATAAGGTTGAATGAACAAGCAGCTACAAGACAGAGAACCAGTGATGGCTTTTTCTTTCTTTTCTTATTTTTATTTATTTATTTTTTGGGTGCTGGGGCTATAACCCAGGGTTTCAAGCATGCTAAGTGCATGTTCTACCACTGAGCTATACCCCCACCCTAAAAAGCAATAGCTTTATGCAAGCAATAAGAATTAGAAGATGTAATTATAGAATAAATGACAATAGGAACAGGAAAAAAAACATGAATAAACTTACAAATAGGTGCCACATAGAATAGTAGTTGGCTGGAGGTGGGGTGGGAGGATAGGAAGGATATTAGGGTGAAGAGGAGTTAGTTTTCCAGTGGGGAAATTAAGACTATTAATATCAGAAAAGGGGCAGGTAAATAGGGATCTGTAATAAGCCATTATGAGAAAGTATGCAAAGATGTTGCCGGTGATGTATTTATAATATTGAAAAACTGAAAGCAGACTGGTTGAATTATGGTACAGTCATGTGATGGTTACTTCAGCCATTAAAAAAGCATTAGGTGGGAGCCATATATAGTAAGATATATATAGAAAGATGTTTATGGTTATGTTTCTCTATGCATAGAAAGATCTTTGCATCGTATGGTTAGGTGTAAAAAGTAGATTACAGTACAGTATGTTCCCATTTTTTAGAATATACATACATATATATATATATATATATATATGTATGCTCATATATACATACATACATATATATATATGAAAAATGTCTGGAAGTATTAGTTACTTTAAAATTTTTTAAGGGGCTGGGGTTGTGGCTCAGTGGTAGAGCGCTTGCCTAGCATGTACAAGGCACTGGGTTTGAGCCTTAGCACCACGTAAAAATAAATAAGTAAAAAAATTTTTAAATGTTTAAATGTGGTAAAGTACATATGAAATTTACCATTTTAACCATTTTTAAATGTCCAATAGAGTAGTATTACATATATTCACATTGTTGTGCAACAAGTCTCCAGAACTTTTTCATCTTACAAAACTGAAATTCTGTTCTTAAGCAATTCCCAGCTCCTGGCAGCCCCCACTCTACTTTCTCTTTCTCTGAATTTGCTCTAGTCCCCTCGTGTAAGTGGAACGGTTCAATGTTCTGTTTTTTGTGAATGATTTATTTCACTTAGCGCACTGTCCTCAAGGTCATCCTTATAGCATGTGTCAGAATTTTCTTCATTTTTCAGGCTGAATAATAATTCTGTTGACTGCTTTTACCACATTTTAAAATAAATTTTTGTAGTTGTAGATGGACAGCATGCCTTTATTTAATTCATTTTTTTATGTGGTGCTAAGGCTCGAGCCCAGTGCCCCACATATGTTAGGCAAGTGCTCTGCCACTGAGCTCCAGCTCCAGCCCCTTTCACCACATTTTGATTTTCTGTCTGTCCATTGCTGGGCACTTGGTTGCATTCATCACCTGGCTATTATGAATATTGCTGCTGTGAAAAACAAGAGTGTTTGAAAGATAAACTCTTGGGGCTGGGGGTGTGGCTCAAGTGGGGGCGCTGGGTTCAATCCTCAGCACCACATAAAATAAAGATGTTGTGTCCACCAAAAACTGAAAAAATAAATAAATATTAAAAAAATTTTATCTCTCTCTCTCTTTAAAAAAAAAAAAAAGATAAGCTCTTTACATCTGTTAGTGAGATC